TTAAGGAGGCTAGCGTGGATGCCGCTGACTAAGGTACAGAAGGTCTGGTCCTTCCCATGACAGCGACCGACCACGAATACGGAACGTTGAAACTTCTACTGGATCCAACACAAATCCGGAGCTTATTGATGACTATGAGGAAGCTATTTCTTCGATATCATCTCAAAAGCACGCAAGAAACCCTCTCTCTCAGCTGATGGCGACCCCTCAGATCACAAAATGGGCGCTTCTGGATGCTAGAAAAAAGGGAGAGAACTATGCCAAAAGCAAAAGACAAGAACTCAACCATCGTGCGAGACATCCTGGCAGACCTCAAGTCAAACAAATTTTCTGAACGTGACACGTGTCACCCTTTTCTTGATCTCCATGACATGATCCTGAACCTCCTGCGCCTACGGGGGGAACATTGGGCTCTAAGCGGGTCTCAACTTATCCTTGCGCGCGAGATGAGCATCACAGCGTAGGTCCCAACCTTATCGAAGTCGGAGATCGAAGTCAAGAGTATCGCAGACCACTTTGTCAAGCTCCTCGCCGTCGTCCACAACATATGGCAGATAGCCCAGTTGATCGCCCGCTATGCGGAGAAACATCCAGAATCCCAAATAGAGGTGGCCACTGGAAACCTCAGGATGTCAAAACCCTGTATATGCTGGAAGCGACTCGATATCCTACTCACAAGGAAATGGTATCCTTTGGGGAAATTGGACCCCAACACGTCGCGGGGATGTCCACCGGCTATGGATATTCAATTCCGGAGCATGCCCTCCCCCGAAGTCTTGCAGACAAGGCTGATGTGCTTGAAGGAGGGTACCTGGGATGGGCTAGTACTGTCTTGGGCGGAATGCTCTTTGGTATGATCCATCTCATAGCTTAGAACTTCCAACTTTCCAACGAATGTGGGGAATATCCTGTGGCGGATTGCAGCAGTTGCAACAAGCGTTGGACCTTTGGTACGGGGTATTCGTGGAGTCTGGCTTGTGGCTTTCAACAGAATCAGATTGAAGAAAGAGAGGAAGGATTTCGTGCGTAAAACAATCGTAACTGTCGACCTGTGGTCTTTCTGGCACTTAGCATGGGCATTGGTTTCTTGTATGGTTTATCGAGGCTGTACTTGCTCGTGGAGACGCTCAGCTCATTGTTCTTTCTTCTGCCTGATACTTTTCTGGCAAGCCTATAAGTTACAATCCACACATGAGAGTATATGCACGGCTTTGAGAATCCAAACAGATTCCCAAAATAATAGTAACATCTAGCGCATTTGTGTTGGAACACCTGCCTCAAATGGACCATCTTATTTTCATTCCCTTCACCGATTCCTGAGAACGTGTGAACATCAGAGAAGGAAAGAAGCACAACGATATGGGTGAAAATTGGAGGCTAGATTGCTGCTGCCTCGCCGGTAATATTGGAAGAAATTGAATGGAACGGCAATCGACAAGTTTGGGATACTGCTCCCCACCAGGGTGTTTCCACGCCAATTCTCACGTTATTCCAGTGATAGAATCTGGCGCCTGGGTAGTGTCCATCGGACTATGGCGCTGCCAAGGATTCTGATGCTGTCAGGCGGCCGATAATTGCATTCTGCAGCCACAGGCTTACTTCAGCCTTTACCATTCACGCAGCCTGGGCAGAGAAATTCTGGCGGATTTCTGTTTCTCGATTGAAACTGTTGTCGAGGATATATGATTGGAGTGGAGAGATAGGTGAAAGTTAAACATAGAAAATAGTGGTCCCAAATTGATAGCATGGGTAGGCAACTTTGCTCCATCGGATGAACCGGGGGTTCGGCGAAATCAGATTGACAGTGTTTCAAATGCGATTCATCAAGCAAAGGCAAGAGGGTGTTGATGTGGATCTTCAAATTCCAAAAAGCAAGCTACTAGGAATAAAAGTAGTCTGCCAATGCTCCCTCTCGCAACGGAAGCCCATTCGACAATTATCTCGATCCGATCCAACGCCACGTCCATTTGCTTCCTGGGGTATAACGTGCATTCCTCCTTTGATTATATCGTGATGTGCATTTAGCAGCAGCATTCGCAGCACTCGAAACATGCGAGACCGGCGCAGCTGGAGTGGAAATCAGCATTCGGCTTCCAATACTTGCATGCAATTGGCGGGAGCATCGACTTACATGCCACAGCAGATCTCGCCTGCTTCACCACCACGCATGCTGACGGGCTCGGCGGTCATCTGCTCAGCAGGGCGCTGGAAAACATGTCAGTCCTGAACTTTGTGTTTGGGCATTGGTGAGGTGGGACGGGCTTACGGGTTGCTCGGTAGCACCGGTGGTTGGGAGCTCCATCTGCTGGGCTTGGGGCTGTTGAACTTCTTGGGCAGGCATATTTGCGAGATGTGTTACTATCTGAGGATATACAGAAAGAGTGTTGGTAAGCAATGGGGTTGGATTGGTGGTGGGGAAGTGAGTGATGTTTGCGTGGACGGAAGAGAGAAGGGGAGGGAGGGGGGGTGGCTCGCTTTATCTCATCGCTGCACACGCAGGCCATTGGGATAAGTTTCAAACCAAGATTGAGCTGGCATGCTGCGTAGCACGCAGCAAGGCGCAGGCTGGCGATGTGGCCAATCCGACGCGTGTCTCAGGGCATCCCCATCGCAATCGAACCAACACTGTCTGACCAGCAAGGAAGTGCTGGCCACGGGATTGGCCGATCAGGGTCTGCAATGGCTGCAGAGAGGCTTTCCCGGACAGGCTGTTATTCCCTCAGCCAGCCTGGTATTGTCTGATCCGCAGATTACAGAAGATCAGCTCGGGTTAGTACTTCTGACGCCGGAGTGGAAAGTGTCTTGCCGGTGAGCTGGAGGATCCGGAACCTTCACGCAGCTTACGTCTGCGGTACAAGTCCCCTATTGCTTGGCATGTCAGTTATTGCGAACATCTGCCGCATGGCGGGAGCTTGTCGGGCTCCAGGATGCTTGTTCTGACGGCGCGGGCGTCGTTTCAGGTCTTGGCGATCTTATCTTGGACTTTGACCTTCAAAGCGGTGTAGACCATCACTGCCCCCCGTGCTCGGAGTGGCTGGAGAGGGAGTCGTTCATCTTGATTACGTGCAGGGTTGCCCACGACTCCACCACTTTGCTTCGTCGTCATGCATCGTCAGCGACAGGGAGAGATTTTCAGAAAAAGCTTCGCGAAATTGCCTTGCTTTGCAAGACCGGCTTTAAATAGTTGTTAAATGTGGGATAATTCCTGCTTGCGCAGGAGCCAGGACCTGCTGAAGGTGGAGAACCCAGACCAACTGAAAAGGCGGACTGCCGGGATACGAGAATACGAGACCAAGAGTACCGAGCCCTGACCGAGGCTAGAAATTGGACTCAAGAACAAGCCGTTCTTTCCCAAGTTGAACAGGGCAGCGCCCGGAGAAGCCCTTTTGCCTCTCTAGTGCGTCATGCACATTGGCAGTTTTTATATTAAACTTTGCAATTGCATACTGTACGTGCTTGCCCATATTGAGGGACGGTGAACACGACGAAGCAGGCCGTATTTAATTTGAATAGTGAAAACTTAAGGTTATTCTCCATACCAAGTTTTGAATATTGAGAACTTGTTTATTCCTATATATCTTTGAATGTTAAGGACGTATTCTTCCCATCAAGTTCCGAACATTGAGAACGCATTGTTCTCATTCGGTGTGTAACATTGGGGACAAGATGTCCCATGTCAAGTTGGTACAATTACACAAGCCACTATTCCATATCTCTAGATTATCGGCTGCTTCGCTTTGGCGGCTCTTGCTCATTGTGCCAAGGGAAGTGATCACTTTATACTGGGAGCTAATCGACAGTCCCGCACTTGTCTGAAACTATCACCCCTTTGGACTTATCTACACTGTGAAGGTATGAGTGAGTGCGCAAGAAGGCGAGCACTCACAACACCTCATTTCTAAGGGGAGAGTTGATTCAGTGAAAATTTGTTGAATTCATTCGACAACCAACGTCTATGCAAGTTCTAGTGGGGTATCTTTCTCTAGCAGACGCAAAACGCCAATTCTCCAAGAAATCTAATTGCCATCCAATGACGAACAAAGGTAGCATCAGCTTCACCAAATGCGAGAAACAATGCATTCAAGACTTTGTGGCGACTTGTTCCCTTCCCAAAGAAGACCGAACTTCCCGCCAAGTCCATCGAAAAGAAAGCCTACCCATGTAAGATGCCAAAACGATGCTCATCTTCGTATGCCTAACTTCGAGCAAGTAGCCGAAGCAAGCCAAGACGAGAAATCAATGCTTCTAATCACAAGGACGGCCACGAACCTGAACGAACCAATTATCGGTGTCCCAGTCCTGACCACCGGTAAGATCGCCTGCTCTCCAGCTGCCTGCAATAGTCTTAATCAAGTTGGAGATATCTACACTGTCGACATGGAGCATACCAGCATTCTATCACGCCAGGACGGTAGACAGGCTAAGACTTCAAGCTCCAGTAGAAGGAACGAGGAAGTTTAGGAAGTAAGGTAGGAAGGGAGGACTTACCAAGTTACTGACGAAAATGGCAATGTTGGAAGTGCGAAAGACCCCGAGGCACTGCCACGGGTCGACATCAATAAAGCGGTTCAGGTGGTCTAGGTAAATGGTGACCCACCCGACAGCCATGTAACCAACCCATTCCCAGCCGTCGAGTTGAGGGATGCATTGCATACTTGAGGGAGGAGGGGGCGGAGGCAGAAGATGCAGAGGCTAAACTTTGAATTGAAGACGTATCGGGAGTTGGACTTGGCCTGCGGAAGATCCACAGATATCAGAAGCTTCTTGGCGCTTTCTGAAAAAGTCCGGATGTATAGAGCACGCAAAAGCCCCATTCAGCAGTTCTGGCACTTCGCCATTCCAGATAACGTTGACGTTGGGATGGTTTGGCGCTCTCGGGAAAGATTTGGCCTTGAGATGGTTCTTGACCGTGTTGGACCAATCCACACCTGATTGTGAGGTAGAGGCAAAGTTTGGTTGGATTTTTTCAAGGCGGCTAGGCACACTGAGGAAATAAGCAATCAGACCAGCGGTGGCAGAAGAGGCTATCGATGATTATTAGCAATTCTGTTACAAATAGGGGATTATAGCCTTACCTTGTGATGTTCCATCCTTCTTGGTTTTGGGGCCATCGCAGACATTGTCCCGGCCAGGTGCAAAGACGTCGACTCCAGGGGCCGGGAAATTAGTGTGGCAACTTTGAAGGAAACATTCGATGACTTACCCCCCATACTGATTCTTGTCCCCAATTGCCGGAGGCAGTGGTCATAACAATACCTGTGTCAATAAGGGCCTGTGTAGCCTCGTACATTGGAAAGAGTGGATCTCCCAACTTTGGGATTCGACCGCTAGACGCACTGAACGAGCCTATGGGGGGAAACCCAAATGGCAGGCTGGCAACTGCTCTGTGCTGAATCTTTTTCTCCTTGTCATCTTTTTGACCGACACGGAGTTGGAATGGGTAGCCCTCATCGTCAACATTTTCACCTGGATACAACCATTTTGGTTCCTCTCCGTGTACATCTGTGTAGTTTTGATATATCTTTAATGTTCAGCATGAGAGGGGAACAGTTGGATGACGTACTCACCGGGCTGGACAGGTCAATTCCACTGTCGACAAGGTACATATTGACATAACCCAGTGGCTCTACCTTATATGCGTATGATTGAATAGTTGCTATCTCAACATGTTGTGGTTATGAGATAGCCCTACGTGACCAGGGTGCAGGGTCCTGTTGCTTTAGGGCGGTCAGAGGTACTATCACCTGTCTTGGCTCTCATTGTTCCTGGAAACTCAGTTCTTCCCCCGCTCCCACCAGCATGCTGTTGCGCGGTTTGCGAGCGGAAGTTGAAGCAATAGAGTCCCCTGCAAGGCTTGGAGTGGGGTTAGGATCGTCAGGATCGACAGGCCCCGTCGGATTAGCCCAGATGTCTGGGGACGTTACACCGACTTATGGGATGATTGTGCCGACCTATTCAAATTAGATGTGATCTCATATTCCATAGTACCACATACCGCGGGGTCTTGCGTGTAGAATTCTACTTGATTCGGAAGCAAGGGGAGATATCAGTAGGCCAAAAATTGATCCTCTGCATCCTCGGTAACTGCAAGCTTACTTGGATCATTTTCAGCCTTCAGCCTGTTGGTAAAACTTGACAAAACTTCATAAGATACACCGAGCTTCGGCTCAATCATATAGTAGGTTGGAATTGCTTTCCTCGAGGCCGTGGTCGTCGAGGTTGTCGAAGAGTTTGTGGCCGAACACATTGTGACTATCGTACAAGAGGTAGATATGAAGCTAGAAGTCACAGTCCCAGATATGCTGACTGTTAAAAGGGTGGAGCAATCAGAGGCTGTGGCTGTTCTGCAAGATGAGGTCGATGATGAAGTCGATCTTTGACTCGACGAAGGTTCTTCAATGCTATTGTTGTCGGGTTCGGGATCTGTGACAGGTGGAGGGGGCTAGGCCTCGGAAATATGATCAGCATTGGCTCCAAAAGGGAAGGAGTTAGAGTTAAGAGAGTTTTCTCCGAGCTTCTTCCCTAAAGACGTGTCTAGGTCCTAATAGTCTTGCAAGGGGTGCCGAGGCATATCTCGCTCCGAGAAGGAGAAGACTTACGTTAGGATCAGGAGAACCTCCTCCACCTCCCGGTCCGCCTCCTCCGCTGTCGCCACAATTAATCAGGCAGGGCCTAGGACATTTATATCAGCGCTCTTCTATTGGCGGAGAACGAAAAGGCTCATGTCGATGAGACTTGAGAAGCCCGCTATTTATGGGAGACTGGCTGTTCAAAATGAAAGACTCTTACAAATGGAACGTCGGAAGATCAGGAAATCCTGGAATCGAGATTTGGATGTTCGGAAGCGGAGGCCTAGAGAAAACGGGAGTGTTAGTCCTTATCTAATTAGGCACCGAAGTAGTGAAGACTGCAATTGGATCAAGGAGCGTAAGCAGCAGAGCTGCGAGAAAGAAAGGAAGTCTTGACTTCATGACTGGGGCATTAGAGGGGGAGTGGAGGTAAGTTTTCAGACCGCCAAGGTTTTCAGACCAGTAGCGGGGATGGCAGGGACGGATAGGGCCTTGAATGAGGGAGGAAGGGTGTAACGAATGTGAACAATCAGTACTCCCTTTGGTATGTACCAAGGGGTTGGGCCTGATCAGACCGGGAGTTGTGATAGGGAAGGAGTATCAAGGTTGAAGAGCCGAAGAGGGGCAGAATTTTCGGAGGTTATACCTTTGGGCAAAGACGCTCGGACTTTTCGAAATGCTAGGCAAATACATGTCTATGACGGATACTATCCAATTGGCTATGAGCGAAGGACATTTCGAAAGGTCCTTTGTGCGTCGAACGGCTCAGAGGCTTCAATCGATTCTGGGTGAACACGTGTATGTGTCGAATACTGTTCTGGCCGTGACGTTTGGGTTCTTCCTCTTCGGTTGATCCGTAGTGTGCGTGGCATTCGGCTGGCCTAGGAGCACCCTGATGTTGGTTACGGTATTCCTCCTCGGAAGAGTATTTATTACGTCTCGGTCGGTCTTGAGGGTATCGATCAGCGCCGTGGCGAGAGTAATCTCCGTGGTCACGCTCTCGGCCATTGCTAAACTGGTCTCGAACTTGGTTCTTGACCTCTGGTCCCCAGAATTCGGAGATGTCAGCTTGTACGTTAGGATCTTCAGCTAGTGGTCATAGAAGGAACGGCGAGCCGGCTGGTTGTTTCGCTTCAGCTCGTCGCTCTTCCTCGCAGGGTTGATCGCCATGGAAAATTTCGGCTAGGTTGAGGAATACTTCGCATGGTATCTGGTCATCCTTGTACCGATTAGGGTGGGAATTGCGTGATTGAGAGGGGTTCAAGGCGCGGTTGTGGATATGGCGGTACTCGTCGGAGAGTTTGGTAACCGGAATCAGTGCTTGTCTATAGAGGCGTTTAATTGTCCACAACCAGTTCACAATATGCTCTTGCTCAGCTGTCATTTTATTATTTTGTAGCCGCTTGTTTGCTCCAGTGGTTGAGATGGCTAGCAATCCTTAGCTAGACGCATAATTTGCTACTTTGAAAGCCTGATCAAGTAACTTAACAAGATTAAATCACAAAGAGTTCAAGAATCGGACCGATAAAGCTCAAGAAAAGCTGCACGAGACGCAAAATATCACATAAAAACCAAAAGCAACAAATCGTTTCCTCGTAGCATAATAGACCTAATAGCCTTCAAGGACCAAGAAGTTGAATCAGTTGGCAAAGGGAAGCGTGCTTGACATCAAGGCTTGATGATAGGGGCTACGACATCAGAAGAAACCGCCGACCTGGAGTCACTATGACACATTCCAATAACGCTTGTGGGTTCACATTGCTTTCAACGGGCTATGCCATCTTTCGCGTTTGTGGTAGGGGCCGCTGAAATTGACTTCAACATTCTAGAGATGGGAACACCACTGCTTTCAATTACTCTATGACTAACAAGTACATTGAATTTTAAGTTATTTCAAACGTTCGATGTTTACTGGGTACAATCAGAATCAAATGCTTTCAAATGTCCCATGCTAAACGAGGACATTCAAAATCCAATGCCTTTGATTGTTCTGCAACTGCAGGGAACAATATCCTCTGCATGTTCCAGTCACCTTGATACAATTAAATCAGCGCTGGTAGGATATTCCTTGGCCAACATGGACGTCGTGAAGTCAGAAGAGGAGAAGTCCAAGGAATGAGATGCCGTCAAGTGTGATTTAATTGTCCTTGCTGGACATGGAACGTTTGGTGTTCACATACTTGCTTCCCAAAGAAGATTTGGGAGCAATTCAATTCCAGTTTACTCACTGAGAAAGCGCCATCACAGCACCACTTGGTACCTCAATGCTACTAATATCCTTCACCAGATAATATCTCTCAGGAAGACACGACGTCAAATTAGCCACACCACGTGATATCGGTCCTCGGCAAACACCCCTGATGCGAGTACTGAGTAACCTCCGCTCCGAGCTTATCGATTGCTGACTTTCAAAAAGCCTTACCCCCACCACACCAATCAGCATCCCTCTATTCCTGAGCTGATCTCGAGCCTGAATAATTACCTTGTTTCTCCTCTTCGCCATGCCCCCTCCTCATTCTCCATGCGCCCATTCCTGCTAACCCTTCTCCTCTCCCCTCTCCTTCGAAGCACAGCATCAGCAGCAGCAGCAGCAAAGTACACCAAAAGAGCAGCTATCCCGGCAATACAATATCCCATCTGCAGATGCAACTTTACCTACCTCCCCCCGCACCAACAGGATTTCCGCACCATAATGGCAGACCCGAATAAAGAAGAGCTCGACTCAGTCGACAGAATATCCAAGCCAGCGGAGAAAGAGTGTGAGATACTAGGGAAGAAGGAGGCATTAAAGGACGAGGTCGTGGAAGAGAAGAAAGAGGAAGAGCCCAGTTTACCCAAGTTGAGCGCTGCGGAATTTAGAACGTATAATTCGATGGCGGAGCATATGGAGTATTTTGTGAGTAGTTTTTCATCATCTCAATCTGATCATTCTCTTCATCAGATGAAAAGAGGGAAAGCTAATGGAGGTGGGGAAAAAAACAGCACAACCACTTCCGCCAAACCTGGCAAATGCTCTACAACGCCTGCCTCAGCAACAAACGGCCCGCCAACCTCTCCCTAAAACAATTCATCTCCACCGGTCTCCAATTCTGCTCGCACCTGTCCACGCATCACGCGATAGAAGAACAGCATATCTTCCCGCTCCTCGCGCAGAAGATGCCCGAGTTCAAGGCCGGGCGCAACGCGGCGGAGTTACTGAGGCAGCATAAGGAGATTCATAAGGGCATGGATGCGTTTGAGGAGTATTTGGAGGGCTGTAGGAGTGGCGAGCATGAGTTGAGTTTGATCCAGATGAAGGTGAAGATGGATAGTTGGGGGACGGTGCTTTGGTCGCATTTGGAGCAGGAGGTTAAGACGCTGGGGGCGGAGAATATGAGGAAGTATTGGACGATCGAGGAGATGCGGAGGATGCCGATGTAGAGCGCATAGAATTGGGGCGTGTGAAGACCTTAGGTAGATGAGTGACGAATGACTTCGAGTCACGCGGGTATAGATCATAAAAAGTAGAGCGCAACGATGTATTGCTAGCTACATCTCTCCTCTCGGATCTGCAGAACACGTTCTGCCGGCTACATAGAAGCCCCCAATCACATAGCCGTCACAGACGTGTAGTGTAAATTATTGTAAAAATCCAAGACTGTACTCCATTCCCCTCTAGTTCATGCATAGATCGCTCGCTGGTATATATTGATGCAATGTAAATCCAAGAATAGATTTACCGTGAAAGCTTTCAATTCATCAAGGTCGTTATTTTTTCAATCAAACTTCTTGGACCCAGACCTGTTCTCGTTAGTATTTATATTTTGAAATCAGGCGAAAAGAGATACTCACTTCCATCTTGCCCATGTCCAAACGTTCTCTCCTCGCCGTCAACTTGACGCTCATAATAGCCATATCAAGATCATCCTGGTCGCCCATGGTAATCATATCTCCGTTTGGCATATCGTCGTCACGGACCCTGATCTTGAAACGCTTGCGTAACCCAAATTTATCTCTTATCTTGTCGACAAGGTCGGGAAATTCGACGGCGGAACCAATCATGATGTAGCGAACATCGTCCGCATGAACTTTGACTCGGATTTTCCTGATGTCGGGTCTTCGTGATTGGCCGCGGCCGCCAACTGACGAGGGTGCTCGAGACCGTGGTCCCGGAGGCGGGCGATTTGAAACCATCTCGAATTCGCCTTCATCAAAGGATCCATCATCGTAATCACTGGCATACTCCTCCTCCTCGTCGATGTATTGTGGTTGACGTCGCGCTTTGCTACTCCGCGACGTTCTCGTTCCCGAATACATATCGTAGAGTTCGCCTGGGTAGTCATCTTCTTCTTCTTCCGGCGTCCTTCTCTGCACTGGTGGACGAGAGTTGCCTCTTCGGGCTGGGGGTACTCTTGACTCGGAGGCTGTGCGCGTAGTTCCCTGCCTTTCTCTCACTTCATACCCTTCTCTCGGACGAGCCTTCTCAATGTTGAGTTTGGCGGGCATTGGCTTAGGACCGTTCCGAACTGAAGCTCCTCTGCTCATCTGGTTTGGAGCCTGGGTCTTCTCGGATTCGGGAGGTGGAGTGGGAGGGAAGACGTTGCGATTCATAGGAGGCTCTGACTGTTGTCGTTTGCTCTGAAGACCAGGTTTCACAAGATTCGTAGCTGCGAATGAGAGATTCTCGGGTGGTCGATCATCCTTCACATCCAATTTGCCAGCCTACACAGTCAACATATAGATCATCGTTCAGCTCAGCAACACTCACATTCTTGATTTCAGATCCAGCAAATCCAGTAAAGGCGTTCGAGCGATCTGAAGCAGCGACCAAACGCGCCTTACCCAAGTAATCCTTCGTCTTCAAGTTCTTGACCTTGGCCTGGTTCGGTCGATATACCACACCGACGGGTATGGAGAAAACGGTGTAACCCTGGAGCGTATTAGCAATTGCGTAGCCAGTTCTCTGAGTCCTATATCTGACCTCCGCCTCTTCCCGGATGGCATCGTCGATGACATTATGATCCTCGACAACCTTCTCCTTGACAGCAAATGAGAAATCCTGCATCCCAGCTTCTTTCTGTTGAAGATATATATAACACAGCCCACGGTTGAAGAGGACCTCGCAGGAATATAACTTGAACATGAGACCAAGCTGGGCATAGTCGATCATGTTGTTTCCCCTCAGGTAGAGGAGTGTGTCGTTGAAATTCGCCAGTGCCTCTTCAAAGTCCCCCACCAAGAAATTTGATACACCTTGTTGAAAATATGCCACAGCAAGGTACTGATCCAATCGAACTGCTCGTTGATAGCACTCGACCTAGACACAATTAGCCTTCGGCCAGATCAGAGGGAAGCGCGGCAAGACGTACAGCCTTCTCATGCTCTCCAAGCGTAGCATGAATGACTCCGCAATTGAAAAGAATCTTGGATGTATCCGAAATGCCATCGAACTCCTTCAACGCTTCGTCGAATTCATTATTATCGTAATGGTTGAGGGCTGCCACCCACGTCTCGATTTCCTATTTTGGGTGTGAGCATCCAAACCTAAATGGCTCTCGGGCACCTCCACTCACCTGCTTCAAAGACATTATGCAGATGTATATGTGATTGTTCCTGGTTCAGAAGTAGTACTTCGGTGCTCAATCGCTGGTCGCTTCTCGAGCGACCAGCCGTCAGTGGTTGTGAAACTCGGATTGATGCGAAGCTTGGCCGAAAATTCACGCAAGCGCAATGTTGTGTTCCGCCACTCAAACCCCAAAGTCGATCTCTCTGCTCTTCCGCGGCGCTCTCTTCTCTCCTCTCTCTGTGCAAAGCCCCAATTACTATCCAATATCTGGTGGCTGGTTTGTCGATAGGCGTTTTGCGGGGTTCCTCGATTACTTTAGTGGGTTGTCGGTGTAGAAGTATTAGCCAGGCGGGGCCCACGTCGTGCGGTTTCAACTCGAGGGCGAGAAGTAGAAGGTAGAGAGTGTGTCGATGATCGTTAGCAAGATCAGGAAGGGTTGTGAGGGATCGAAAGGAATGTAAAGAGGGTTAGACGAAGACGCAAACGCAAACGCAAACGCAAGGTACGATCTTGCTGACTAGCAGCAAGTATACTGGAAGTGGTTGCAGTTGGAAGTGTGCAAGAGATGAGTGGGCGGAGGACGAGTGCAGCGCGTAACACGAGGTGGGATTGGGAGACGGCGGCGGGGCGGGTCCTTGTTGAAGCTAGAGTGGGTGGGTACTTTATGCATGGAAGGGAATAGTGCGTTTATTGGGAGGGCCTCTTGCTGCCGTGGGCCAGAAATGCGATGGCTCGGTGCAGCGTCCGGGAGGCAGAGGAGAGGCAGAGGTGTCGGCGGGCGGACGGGCGGGCGGGTTGGCGGGTGATTGTGATATAAGATTGGAGATGGGGAAGGTGACAATGCGATGTGATGTGATGTGAAGTGTGGGTGTGGGTGTGAAGGAAGAGTGAAGTGTCAATGTGGAGTGCGGGAGAGGTTGTGTGCTGGATCGGGTCAAGTCAAGTCAAGTCAAGTCAAGTGCGGTCGAGTCCCAGTCCAGTTCCATTCCAGTTCCAGTTCCAGTTCAGGTCCCAGTCCCAGTCCCAGTCGCAGTCGCAGTCGCAGTCCCAGAAAGAAACGGAAGGGGCGGGCCACTCCGCTGGATTCATGCCTTTTGACAGGCTCGAAGGGATGTGGCCAGGGAGGAGTGACTGAGCCTGTGCAACGCTGCGACTGGCAATGGGCGGTCGCTGCGTTGTGGGCGTCAACGCCGTCAAAGGGGGGGGGGGGGGGGGGTTGGCTGTGGGCTGCTGGCTGTTGGCTGTTGGCTTCCCTGGGGATCTCTCTCCTGCCAACTGGCCATGGCCCTGGCCCTGGCCCAAGCCTCACCCACAGCCAACACCCAGCCTGCCTCGAGCACCCCAGGGCCACATGTCAAGCCTGCGCGGCCGCTGTTCAGGTCGCTGGGCCCTTCAAAGCAGCCAGTGTTCCATCAGCGGCAACCGACGACCATTGGTTCGACGACGGCTTCGCTTGTGTCTCGGGAGGCGTCTTGGCGTTCCAGGGCGCGTACACGCTAGAAGTGCTTGGACGCGCATCAAGTCATTCGCTTCACCACCACCACCACGCATCACGCGTCGTCTATTCGCCTGTTGTCAATACTTGCCGCCGCGAAAATGCCCCAAGTGTCCACCAACAATTGAATTCCTCATGACCGCTTTATTCCAAAAGCATCGTCAGCTGCAAAAACCGCACGCCGATCACAAGACCGCGCCAAATTTGCAATGTTCCTGAGTCCTAATCTCCCCCCCCCCAAACCCCTAGCCAATAATCCCCACCCAGGCCCTGCCTCGACATGTCCGAGACCGACCGCGTATCCTCGGCCACGATGCCGTCTCGACTCGTTTCTCCTGCGACTGCCGATCGTGGGCTTCTCAAGATGCTTATTCTTGCCCCTCACCCACCAAATAAGCTCTTCGATCTTATCGGATCCCCATCACGTCCCTGTGTGCAGGAAGCTTGGCAGTCTCAGGGTAGTCGTTGCCAAGCGGGACGAAACTCGCTTGGGCATCGGCCTGTTTGAGGTCCCCTCCCCCCTTCGGACACCTCGACAGTGTGATCTCATCAAGTCACAGCAGAACGGCCCGCTGCATTAAACTGGCCGATCGCCAAGACAGGAGCTCCCCCGTTTTCGTCTCAACTTTAAGTCCAGCACCCAATGCCGTGGGCTGGCTTTCCGAGTTGGGGAGCCGTCAACTTCGGAGACTATCCCGTTGTTTGGAACCCGATGTGATCCTCCTCTCGAGGCATCCTGCCTCATAACAAGCATTTCTTGGCATATCCACTCACAGGGTCCCGAGACGCGGCTAGAAACGCATGAAAGCTTTGCCGTTTGATACCATAAAGGTAAGATTAAACTCGGCGTCGAAGCCTCAGAGTTCCTGCAAGTCTTCTGTCACTTTACCTCTTTTGTAAATCGAACCACCATCACCCCATCACATCGCTTGGCAGCCCATTTCTCGTCTGATGGCCTCATATATCATCACAGCATCCCCTTCTTCACTTCATCCTTCCTCTCCTCCCACAGAGTCTTCCCCGAGCACGAGCAGACAGTTTTGTCGTTGTCCCAAACTCCTGCACTCCGCGCAATCACACCAACCAAGGTGTCCTCATCATTTTTCTCAAACTTCCCCTCGCCCTCGTGCTGTTTCGACACCACAATTCCCCTTCCAATCATCTCCCATATCTGTATCGGTTTGTCAAGGAACACACTGCAAATGCCATCCTTGCCAACCTGCACAGTTCCCAAGAAACCTCTTGGTTTGAGAGCACCCTCCTTTGGATCGGTCCAAATACCCCGCGTAGAAATTGCTCCGTTGGATATGTCCCCAGTCTCTCGAACTGTAGCCCAATAGTTGCCAGGAGACAGTCCTCGAATGGTGAGATCAATAAGTGTTAGATTTGGAGCAACCTCAACCATCCGTGCCAGACCACGTACTTTATCTGACACGGTATTCGAATGCGTCTCAAGAATGCAGACCGCCGCACCTAATCAACATGATTAAGAAAAGACCAGATGATGTGAAATTGCATGAACTCACTGTTTGAACCACCGGTACCTCTGAGAATGGCATCTCTCCCAGTCGATTGGATGGCTGCAACAATGGCAGATGGCGCAGCTAAAATTGCACAGTCAAGGCCTGGTTCAATGCCAAACGAGTGACATGCATGAAATGACGGGACGAACCTGTTCCCTCGATGGTCACCAGCTGATCTTTGAGGTTTGCCTCTACTTTTTGAATGCCGCTGAGCTTGAACAATGAACCTGAGATGTCTTTGATGCAGCTCTCGCAGGTCATAGGCACTGCAAAAAGGGTCTTCATCAGTCAGTGTGAGGTCACACGTGACACGACCGATGGCGAAAAGTACGGAGAACTGACCTGGAAAGGAGTTGTGATGACCATGGTGATGATTTTAGAAAGAAAATGCCCTTGATGGGGTTCTGTAGAGTGGCTGCCTTGATGTCAGAGCGTTTCTAAGAAAGCTTTTGAGGAGTTGAAGAAGTGTCATCGAATATCACTTCCCCATGCTTTGAAATCGCGGCTTCGCTTCGGCAAGAATTGACCATTCGCCGAAGACCCAGAAAATCCTCCCGATCAGGCTTGGCGGCATCAAAAAGTCACGACCTCACCTCGCGACCACGACTCACGAAATCGAGAGCAGCATCTTACCGACGGCTCTCCTGCTCTCAACTCGACCTCAATCGGCCTGAGGGCCACCAGCAAAGATGTCTCAAACCAACGGCTTGGTAACCTTCACCCAATCTATCTACAAAAACAGCTCTCCTAACTCCCTCTCCTCCAGACAAAACTTGCCTACTCCCGCACCTGGCACCACATCTCTGCCAGCACCCCCCACCACGCCCTCTCCACCATCCGACCCCTCCCTCACCCGCAATCCCTCACCCTCACACCCCCCTCCCTGGGCCGCCTGGCGTCCCGAATAGCAGTCCTCCTCATGGGCAAGCACAAACCGATCTGGGACCCGTCCACCGACTGCGGCGACTACGTCGTAGTAACAAACTGCAATGCCTTACACACAACCGGCAAGAAACGCTGGCAGAAAACATACTATCGCCATAACACCAGACCGGGGAGTTTGAAGAGTGTTACGATGGATGAGTTGATGAAGAAGCTTGGAGGCGCGGAGGTATTGAGGAAGGCTGTTAGTGGGATGTTGCCGAAGAATAGGCTGAGGGATGATAGATTGAGTCGGTTGAAGGCGTTTGAGGGCGAGGCGCATCCGTATAAGGCGAACATTGTCAGGTTTAATGGGAAGAGTAGGATTGCGCAGTGGCCGACCGGGGTGGAGGAGCCGGTGGGGACGGAGGCGAGATTATGAAGATGATAGAAGGGGTGGAAGTGTATTATAGGGCACAAGGCATTGCAGGTGCATTGTATGGGTATATATCAGGAACACGCAGGAGCTTCTAGATGGCGCCTGTCGTCAAATCAGGATGGCCTGTTGTCACCAAAGGCAATCCGGATTGCCACCTCAAAAAAGCTCGCCTGAGCAAAACAACATTACAAGAATACTCACGTCATTCCAACTAAGGCAGCGGCTAAAACCCTTAAGTTCGTCAGTCAGTCAGTTGTTGATTGCACGGTGTCCAAGCGGAACATTCGCTTTCGGAGGATATGTCAGAAGCAAAGGATTTATTTTTGCCCTGTTAAAAGGAATTCCTTGCAGCACCCGAACCATAAACTCCAGTCGAGGGCTACATGAAAGACAGAACTCTCTTCCACGCTGCAATATCATCATCGAACTTCGCCATCGCTTCATCCCTCAACGGTTGCAGCTCCTGCAGCTTAGCAACCGAGGACGCCTTGTCCGTCGCCTTCGATGTTACAATTTCCATCTCACCGCCGGCCGACTCCCCGCTCTCGCCAGCCGGTGAGCTCTCTCCGTTTGGACTTGTGACAACATCCCTGTTTCCATTCGTTGTGTAGCTAGATGCAAGTGCTGGCTCGATAACAACATCCTCACCGTGAGTGCGCTTGAGATGTTGAACGAGGTTGTCCTTTCATCCGATGCCTCTGCGATGCCTCTTGCATGTGACTACAGGGTAGATGAATGCAGGAGAAGTGTGGACTTCTCGACGGTGACGTCTCAAGTCTCCTGCGTTGCCGAAGTCTTTGACTTTGCAACCGGAGATTGGACACTTGTATGGTCGAGTGTGCTTATCCGTGTGTTTCATGAATGCGGAGTTCTGTCTGAAGACTCGAGCGTCTTGGCACCCTGGGTGTCGACATCTTCTAAGGTGAAAGTCATTGTTGGCTATCGATTAACTCGGAGCTTTGGCGGCATCGAAGTTCGATGCGTTTGCTGTTCTGCTAAATACTCCTAAGTCAGCAATGAATGGATCGCATGTATCTAAGAAGAGATTCCATACCCAACCGATGTGGTCAACATGGCTGGTTCTTTTCGGGTGTCCGAGGTGAAGATTCTGGTCCTTTCAATATCAAACTCACCGACAAGATCGAAAGAAAGGGGCCATTCTTGGCGCCTAGTTAACACCATGCGTATCAGCTTAGGCTCTGCGATCCAGTGTGGCCGACACGGCAACAACATTCCTACCAGCCTGGGTTCTTTGATCTAGTGTAATCGACACAATAAGGGCCGGAGTCCCACTCCTCTCAATGTCAAGATGGAGGACACGGTCATTGGAAATGATGAAGAAGGGAACAATTATTGCCCATATAAAGATAAATGAGGGAACCGAGGTCGTCTGCGATTACATACTTTCGCTTTGTGTACGCTCCTCAGAGTTCCGCAAATCTGTGGAAGAGATATAATGAAGATGGGTTCCTTGAATTGAGGTGAGGTTGATATGCTCCACGGTGCAAGATTTGGCCCAGTCGATTGGACCATTTCGGAATACCTGAACAGAGCCCAATGCTGCTATCTTCGAAGTGTTCCAGACCTTGGGTCTTCCTGGGATCTAGCCCGCCGTCCGGCGGTCTGGGATTATCGAGGACAGTTCGAAACCCATTCACGATGACATCAAACGTTAACATACTCATGGGCAGCAGATTCCATCGTGCCTCCTATCGCAGGCAGCATGTCCTCGGCAGTAAACCTATTCACCTCGTTAGTTGGTGAGCATCAAGCTTTTGTGCCAACTTGCGATGCCATGGTGCCTCCCACGCTTGCAAAGATGGTCTCAGCAGGATAACTCTCGTGGTCCACACTTGCAGCCAAAAATAGAGGAAAGTAAAATTCAAATTAGAAGATTTGGTCTTGAAAAGGTTGTGGGAGGCGGGAGATATAAATACTGCAGGAATCAGTCGACACGACGTCGCCCTGCAGCCCAGTTTTTGACCAACGCCCAGGGCGACAAGGCGGTGCAAAAGTAAGTCGTATCCCCTACCTCACCCTACGCTACGAGGCAGACTTTACGGGAATGAGACGACATGGATCTTCGGTGGGCAATTACTCTCTTTCTCAAGGCCACGATGTTGTGGAGAAGGTTTCTCCCCCTAGCTTACCCAAATCGCCCCGTCTGCCTACAAGGAGACCCTGCTTTTACGGCTGTGGTATTCCAAGATGAAAATCCCAGGCTAGGTGACCACACACTAGGGACGATCGAAAGATGGTTCAAGCATCAAATCCTTTCCTCGTTTGTTGAAACGCTCCGAAACGCAACTATACACCGTCCACCCACCGGTCCAATCCTGCGCCAGTCTCCTCATAATCCATGCCTATTTTTACAACGAAGAACGCCTTTCAGATTTGACCTCCAATGCCCACGTAAATACGCCTGGTCTTATAATCGTACATATCCTATCCCACAAGCATTTCCCTTAAACTCCTGACTCGGGCGCTGTTCCTGATAGATCACTAATGCTTCGTTGGCGTTCAGTCCTCCCCTCGCTGCCAGTATCATCGACATCACTATTCATCTCGTCATCACTGTTCTCTTCCCCGAAGACAATCCGTCGTAGGACACTTCTGTCAAAAAGCTCTGCGACGAAATGTCGAACTCCGAGACGGAAGTGATGTGATTCCAAGAGCGTCATGATCTTTTTGAAAAGAGCCGGTTGCTTGAAACCAGGCACCTTCTTCGCTTTGATGTGCATCAGCTCCGTCATTGCTCTCTTCTGGAGCACTGTATTCCCAAGATCAACGATGAGCTCTAGAATTCGCTGATTGACAATATCATCATCCATTTTGGCTGCTTCGGCTGCAGCTTTCTGAGACTCTGTCATGACAATGTCGGAGACTTTCTCATGCTTCCACGGTTGGAACGAGAAGAACTTTCCCAAGTTCTGTGGTATACAAAGGCCAAGCGATACGCCCATCTTTGTCGTGTTACTGTCCCATCCAAACTCGGACAGAATCTCGAGCCCGTGAACGCTGCGTGAGATCAGTCCCAAAACAAAGAATGCTGTCCCTCGTAAACTCATAATCTCATGTGATTCGGCAATCCTCACGATGTTCTCGACCACGTCGCATTCTTCCAGGAACGGGGCACCGAGCTCCATGGATCCGACATTGCCAACGGCCCACAAGCAACCCTTGACCTTCAATATCAGCTCTGAATCGTCAGAGAGCATGCCATATTCGCGAATTGTCGTTGCAAATTCTTCAAAGTGACCCTTGTCACGGAGAAGCTTGCAACCCTCTTTTGTCCTTGTCAACTCCCTGTAAAAGTGTGGTGGTACATGAGCGTCATTGTCGCCTTCCAATTCAAAGCTGTCGACATCCATACTCAAACGATTTGAGGTCTCCTCCGTGACCTCAACAAAAGAGCGCGCTAAGCTTGCCTCGATCACACCAACATATGTGTCATTTCGGCCAAGAAACCAGTCGTCCATCTCGTTACTGATGTAGTCTAAGCCGTCAAGATAATGGTATCCAATGGAAGTTGACAAGAACCGCAGAAGTAAAGGCGCCCCAATTTCTCCAAGATGATCAAGTGCAGGCCTGCACTCAACGATATACTCTAGGTAGTTCTTTCGATTGCAAGCTTCTTCCAGAATCTTAATTGCAGTTGCACAAACTTCCACTTCCGGATCGTATAATTGCGTCACAAGGAGCTGAATAGCCCATTTGGAATCCCCAACGCCTTGGTTACCCGGCCCATTTGTTCTCGACCGACTAGAGTACTTTCTCAGAACATTCGTTGCATAGATGCGTATCTCTTTCGATCCTGCAGTTAGAGCTTTCGAGAGTAGAACTCTTGGATGACCTGGTAAACTGTAGTCGAAATTCGAAAGCAAAAGTTTAATGAGATCAGGACGTTGTTTGAGATCTATGATGTGATACATCATATTAATCATACGCCAGCGATCCAGCATCTGTAAGCCTTTTAAATCTCCACTCATGGTCCCCAGCATTGCAAAATATCCGCAACAAAGGGTCTCTTGGAGGCGTTCTTTTGAGAACATTGGAGATTGAGCCGTCAATCCGCTAGTCTGGATGATATTAGTCTTATTGTTACAGAAAATTCGCAGATTTTAAAACTTACTGGATCGCACTGTGCCAGGCACTCGGCAATCTGCCTGAGTAGCTTGTTGTCCGCAAGGTACCTGACACCCTCCACAGTTTGGAGAAGAGTATGGATAAGAGCACAGCCGACCTTGACATATTTCTGAGTAATTCGAGTGTTTCTGACCTCGGCAAACTTGTACTTGAATGGCCGGTAAAAGCTCATGATTCGCTTGATGAATTTCGATGCTTTGATAGCTTCGTCCAGACGCTTGCCGTTCAACAATGGGCCCTCAATGATCTTCAAGATGATGTCCCATTTCCATTTTGTTGGGTTCGTACTTGACAAGACTTGCGTCTCAACCAATAGCTGACGGAAGGTGGTCTCATCTAGCGTGACATTCGGGTTGCTCTTCGGTTGGTCCTCGAGACTAGCCAGGTTGTCCTGGCTGCTGTTGATTGAGCTTGCTAAGATACCTCCAGCAGCAGGTACTGTCCGGTATAATGTCCTACTAACACTGCTGATTTGGTACACGGTTCCGGTCGCATCAAATCGTTCGTTGTCTCCAAAGTGAGAGGCTGCAGAAAAAAGCTCCGGCAGGAGCTGCAGATCAGCACTCCAAGTTGAGGGTAGTAAACTATCAGCAAGCTTCAAGACTTCTCCGATTAGTAGTGTCGTCTTCCGCTTCAGCATCGAATTGTCGGCGTCTCGAGTTACCTGTAGAAGACCTGGTAACATATCCGATGCGATCAAGACTGCGAGTAACAATGCCGTGTAGTGGTCTACGAAACTCTTCTCCCCAGGTTCTTCCTCTACAGGTTGCGCAGTCTTCTGCGGCGCAGCTTTGAGAGTAGCGACTCGCCCGTATGTTGTTAGTCGCCGGCCAGCTAAGAAAGAGGGTGCCCAAAATGGAGATTTGATCCGGAGCAGCGAGTAGAGAAGATCGATGACTGTTTCTCGAATCGTGGGGTTCGGCAGCATCAAACAGGAGACTAAGGATCGTATAGCTCTGAAATTGTACATCGACAGAGTCATGAGACCTGGCCAGGACTTCAATGCATACGAGATAGCTTTCGAATTTTGTTTCAAGATGTTCTCCTTGGCATACAGAGAATCTGTGAAAGCTGTAAATAGAACCTCCAGTTCATAACCCGAGCGGAGATATTTCCGGCGTTGTGGTGCATCCAGTAGGAAAAGGAATGCTGCCGTAAGACTTCCCGAGGCCTCGTACGTCCCTTCCCCTAAAGCATCTGCCAAGGGCCTGAGTCCACCTGAGGTCACGAGAAGGGCCGGGTTTCGGACCATGATTTCGGCCAAAGTCTCTATACAGATAGCTTTCAATCGATCCTCAGTGTGTTCGGCGACTGAGGCTATGGTCCTCACAACAGCCCTTGACACCTCACTGACCCCGTCTTTGACATCCAGAAAGGCGCGGACAAATTTCAAGGCTTGTTCTCGTTCAACATCGGCTTTTCGTTCTTTAATTAGAGAACTGCTCATGGTCAGCAGAAATCACTAATACAAATACTGTCAACTTACAGGACAACCAGATAATCAATATTGAGCGATCTTATTTTCTGCAGCGAGCTGATATCCGAAATTGCGTATCTCGTCATTCGATATCCAGCAGCAACAACTTCTCTGCTCTCGCTCAGAAGCATCACCTGCATCCGCAAGCCAAAGACTGACCAAACCAGATCGTATTTCAGAGTCGGATGCCGTTTGAAAAGCTCGACTAGATTATTGGCATGGCCAACATAGTAATCCGGAGTGAGCCCCTCGACTTCCAGCGCTTGTAGAATCTCAGCGAGGGCATATGTGGGTGACTCGGTTGGCTCATCAAATTCCGACCCAGCCGCACTCTTCGTAGCACTGTGGGGAGACCGTAGCCCATTACTGCTTTGAAAAATAACATCCATGCGCGTCCTTGTCGGTGTTGTGGGTGGTTTCGGCCTCTGGAGCTCCGTTATCTGATTCCTCAGCTCCTTGATCTTCTGGTTTGAAGAATTGAGCTCTGCCTCCACCCTCTGCCGTTGTTCCTTGGTCTGTTTTGCCTTCTTCGTGTTCAGTGCCTCCAGCATATTCTCACTGCCTTCCTTGATCTTCATTTCTCGGTTCAACGATTCACGAAGGGTCGCAAGGACCTGCTCCGATACCAGGCCATCATCCTCATCGAGTCTCTCCAGGTTCACCATCGAGGCATTGATGTCTTGTCCGGAGCCGGTTCTCGAAGGTGCAAGCTGATTTCGCATGTTTGAACTAAAGCTGCCAGGTGCTACTGGGGAAGGAGCAAGTGATGAGCCGCGGGGCCCAAACGACAAGCTGGAATTTGAACGGGCGCCATTCGCGAGCGCGCCTGGTTGTAGGCCATCTCGATCTGAAGGAGTTTTCGTGCCATTCGTGTTATACGGGGTCGACTGCTGGGTATAAAATGACTTCTGAGTCGTCGTCGCAGACGAGCTCAGAGTGCTCGGTGGTCCAACCATCTGTCCATCGACGGGGTTGAGGTCAACGTCTTTCGTCCGGGGGTGGCATGTGTATGGAAGCTATAGGATGGACCGTGGAGTTCATCCACACAACTAAATGAGTCTTTCGGGGCGCATTCGATGAAGGACACATGCGATGCTGACAATGTAAGAGAATCGTGGGGAAGATGTGAGGGGATATCGAGGTCTAGGGACAGCTTGCGGATGAGAGACTCGGCGACGGAATTGGAATTGGGGTCCAAAAGGATCTACGTAGAGTAAGAATTCTGTGTAGGGTTCTACGTCGACTCGTTGTATGCGATGGCGTTCACTGTATGTACATCATTCTGTTTTAAGCATCCAGCGTGGTCGCCAGGCTCCCTCCAAGTCTCGAATGCACGGACCCAATTCTCGCGAAGGCTTGCTCCCGCTTGAAAACACGTTCGACAAACGTCCGATATAGTGCCTCGATGATAATTGGCCGGCTATTCATGAAAGATAGAGCACACGAGCAGCAGGGCCGACATTTTGGGGGACCAAGGAGGTCGATCGGATACGGCTGGCTCTATTGGCATTGCAAAGGGCATGAGAGACTGCTTTCAGAAGAGATTTTGGAGCTGCTTTACCCCTTTGGCAGCAGAGAATTCACCTGTTCCAAACCGTATAGTTCATCTCTCGTTCCCTCCGATGGGCATTTACCGTACAATGAGGTCCTTCCAATGAGAGGCATGCGGGGCTCATCGCGATCTGCTCAGATGATCGTACGATGAAGTATACGACGAAGTAGCTCCGCCAAGCGGGGATTTTCACAGCCTGGCATGTCAGCCTTGCCAGACCGAAAAGCTCAACTCAACAAATGAAATTCACGAGAAGACTTGTTTCAAAATCTCTGCATCCTATGAGACCAGGTAAAACTTTGCAAGGCATGAAGATTTGAAGACCCCCAAGACTTATAGAATTCTGTATTTTACTGCAAACTAAACTCGGCGCAAGGCTGGCTCGGCCGCCTCCGAGCGAACCTCGATCCAACCGACGACAGCCTTCACATTGACCGACGAACCAGCCTATCAGACGTCTCTTATCTGCTAGATGTCTTAGTTGCTTTGGCCGGAATCTGGATCTCCTAGTCGACAGCTGTGCCGTCTTTCCAGATAAGACTTGTGGATGCGGATACATAAAGCTCCCAGCTCCCGCTTTCGAACTCTCATCCACTTCAATCAAGCATCACCTCACACATTCAAGCCCTTGCCAGACTTAAGCCACAACTCTTACTTTCAGTACGTCCCTGCCAATTGACATTGACTTAAGTTTCCACACCTTACCCAAAAATGGCCTCAATTGCTTCTGCTCGTTATGGCAAGGACAATGTCCGCGTCTATAAAGTCGAGCGAGATGAGAAGACGGGCGTGCAAACCGTCACCGAGATGACCGTCTGCGTGCTATTGGAGGGTGCTATCGAGACCTCGTACGCTATCCCTCAATCTCCTTGAATTCTCGGAATTAACCATTTATCTGCAGATACACCAAGGCAGACAACAGCGTGGTTGTTGCTACAGACTCTATGAAGAACACCGTCTACATCAAGGCGAAGGAGCACCCCGTCACCCCTCCCGAGCTCTTTGGCAGCATTCTCGGCACTCATTTCATCGAAACATACTCTCACCTGACCGCTGCGCACATCAAAATTGTCACACACCGCTGGACAAGAATGACGATAGATGGCACGCCACACCCGCACTCTTTCTACCGTGATGGAGCCGAGACTCGTAACGTCGAGGTTGTAGCGCGGAAAGGGAAGGGACTCGGAATCCGCAGCGGCATCGCCGGTTTGCTTGTGCTGAAGAGCACGGGCTCGCAATTCCACGGCTTTGTTCGAGATGAATACACCACGCTTCCTGAGGTCTGGGACAGGATTCTGTCAACTGAAGTCGACGCCAATTGGTCTTGGAAGACATTCCCTAATGTTGCTGCAGTTACAGCAGCTGTTCCCAAGTTCGACAAGGCTTTCGATGACGCTAGAGATATCACAATGAAGACTTTTGCCGAGGAAGACAGCCCATCCGTCCAGAACACTATGTACAAGATGTGCGAATACATCATGGAAGCCGTCCCAGAAGTCGAAAACGTGGACTACTCCCTCCCTAATAAGCACTATTTCGAAATTGGTATGTTTTAAAGGAGCTATCTCGAGAATTAGAGCTGATTTGAGATTCCACAGACTTGAGCTGGCACAAGGGCCTGAAGAACACCGGCAAGGATGCCGAGGTCTACGCCCCTCAATCAGGGCCTAATGGGCTCATCAACGTCACAGTTGCTCGTTCGCAAACAGCAGCCAAACTATAGAGAAGACTGCTTTGTACAAAAACATAACGCCCTTCATGAAATACACGTCGGCATTAGGCGCATGGTAAAAAGGTTGCTTCAGCGTTGATTAACGCCAGATTGTAAATACTAGTTGCAGATACCAATACATCAAGTGTGCACAATTTCTTTCTTTCTCAATCCTTTTTGACATCAATCATTTGCCAATCTCTTCTGAGTTGAGGAATCACATGGCTCGCCCATTTTCTGCAATCTCACGGGGTTCGGGATGCCATCAATTCGTAGTAGGTTTCCTAAGGTTACCCGCTGCACCAGAATATCCCTGCATGGTATCCGCAGAGAGTGATTGTCAGGATTGTATTATGTGAATTGCGCTTAGCCTGTTCTTTTCCGAGAACCCTGGAAGATATATCAAGCAATGAGCATACAACACATAATCGTTTCTGTAAAAAAAAATTTATCGCATTGAAATGGAGGCGCTCAAACCATGCTGCAGCAAGGATCCACTCGTTGAACCTAAAATACTCTGATTGAGTGCCAATCTCGGAAAGGAAAGCTCTTTCCAAAAGCAACAGATCGGTGAAATGCATCAGAACACTCAAACCTGCGAGTTATGCATCGAGAAACCTAATAAAGCGTCTCTAATAGGGGCCTCAGGGAAACAATTACCCCTTCCAACCCCTTTCAGGTCCATTGGAGAGGGGGTTTCTGCGAGTTGGATACCAATCTAAGTTTCGCGCGACCAAAGTCGGAAGTTCTAGTTGATGTGTCTTGTATCTTCTGGTGCTGTTATTATTTGACCTTCCTACCATCTCACCACAAAGTGACTCTGCAAGTGATAGTGAGGAATGAAAATCCCGAATAGTTTCACCAACCTTGCTTAACAGCTCGCTTCAATTTTTGTGGACAAAAAAGAGTTCAAGTCACCAAAAAAAAAATGTTAACTCGAACCTTTCCAAATAAACGGCCACCTTGAATTCCGCTTCTCATGAATGATAAACACTGGCCCCTTTAATTAAGCGAGGCAAAGTACCTACCCGATGAATACTGCAAGAGACTTGATGCCTCTCTATGTCTGACTTTGAATCTCTGACACCTCGAAGAACAAATGACAACATCAGCGTCTCTTATAAGTCCCAATGTTGGCTCTTTCTTATTACAATTAAACCTTCCGAACACTCTTCAATTCATCACCGTGCCCCAGTTCTGTAGAGATTCCAGCCACCACCGGGACCATCATGTCCATCCTGGCCATTGTTCACGGCAACAGTACCATGCTTCATCTTCTACACCTGACACGATATGCTCTCTCGGAAATTGGAAATTTCAAACAAGTTCCTGATACAACATAAAGAAAACTGCGTTCTGTAGTCGACTGCTAATTCTCGGACTCATGCCTAGCCCACAACCTAGGGGGCTCTCTTCACAAGTGTATATTAGCCTTGACGACAACATTGGGTTATGTGCTCCTAGAATTAGAAATTCTTACGAGAGAACACCTCAAGAATGTCGATGGCTGCTAGGATCAGGAAGTAGTCTGGAGAAAGTTGAGGTGAATGAGTAAAAGAAGAGATTTTGAGCTCACGGCAAGCATTTCATGGCAGAAGATGGAGGTTGAAGTTCGACAGATAAGTCTTCCGTTGAGGTGTGCATGTCTTGGGGACTTTACAACTGCCCTAAGGACTAGATCTACAGAAAATTCATCGCTGAGGAACGCAAGGCGATTGTTCAACATGAAGAGCTCAATGGAGAAGCAGCCAGTGGTTTGGCGTGAAGAGAAATACTTCATCGAACGGAGATATGTTGTTGTTGCACAGATCTTCACCCATACTCAACGTTGCTTCGTTGTCTTACCTCTATTCGTCATTTCTCGGACCGGCGACTGCCCTGTGAAACGACTGCCCAGCATTCCTCGAGTGATCATCAGTATGACGGAAACAACGGTACGCAGTAACAGAACTTCCTTATTCAATCACCACATGAAGCTGTTGGAAGCTCCCAACCCACCCTTGAAGACTCTGGTGATATGTTTCGTGATCAAAGTTCATACGAAGTGGCACGGTAGGAATGTGCCTCGTGTGAGGAAGGTTTGGAAGTGCAGGATAGGCAGTTTCATTCCATCCTACATTATTTGAATTTGCTGCAATTCCCATTGATGAATTGGGATATTACGGCTTGTCCTCGGAAGCTTATAACAAAAGCCATAGCCTCTGCTGCAAAAGAGAGGACCCACTCTTCGAGATCGAGGGAAAACATGCCATCGCACCTCATATTCAAGTATCGGGCCTTCTCAGCCTTTCTGCTCTCGAGAAGGAAAATCGTGGACCGAGTTCAAGTTCATATCAGGAATGTTCCACCATCTCTTGGAAACCGCAGATCGAAGCCTGAAAGAATTTGCATCCAGTCTTCTCTCGCGTAACCAGCTTGCTGCGTGATCCAGAGAGCCTTCTTATAAAACCACGCCCAATGTCCTCTCTCAAATCTGCTTCGAAACCACTGAGCATCTCAGCTCCGCATTCTTCAACGTCGTTTCGAAACCCTCCAAAAAAATGGTCTCCCAATTCCTTCTAGCGCTTGCTGCAATTACCACCACCACGTTTGCGGCGCCTTCTCAACAACAATCCAGCACAGTACCCAATGTATTCTGGACAATCATTAACCTAGCTCGAGGTGCTCTTCCCTTCCACTCCGCTTTTCCCTTCCCCAGCATTAATAAATGTCTCAGACTGCACCCCATCAACCCTCCCCTCTCCATCCTGCTCCTACGAATTCGTCATCTCGGCCACCAACGCCCAGCCCGACTTCACCTGCCGCCTCAGAGACTACGGAAGTCCCATTTCATCACAGAACACCACTCTCAGCGACCCACGCTGGAACAGCTTCGGTGCCTATCGCTGCAATGGCAATGATGCTCATTCTGGGGGGTGGCAGATTTCTTGGGGGTATAACGGTGATCATGATTCTGCCGTAGTATGTAGAAACTTTTCTCCTTGCTTTGGTCGATCTGGGGTTCGTCTGAGAAGAAAAAGTCTGACGAAAATTTTCAGATGACTGTTGTGAATCAACCTTTGAATCAAGACGCTTGGTTTGGATGGAACTATATCAACAATAGGACGCAATTTGAAAACGTGGGTCCAAATTCTGTTTATAATTTAGGCAGCTTTACCTGAGAACGGCTATGAAGATAACGCAAAAGACAAGGAGTAGGGGTTTGGGGTAGATCAGGGGCTGCTGCATTATTCCGACTGTGATTGGAATTAATCCACGCTCAACAGTGTTTATTTAACTCCGCTTGGATATTTTCGAAGCCCGTGAGAGTCTCACAAGTTCAAAGAATAGAAAAGCCACGAACGACAAGCAAAGAGGACTCTAAGCAACTAGGTGATCTTTATTTTCATAAAAACATGAATGAAAGCTTTTTGCAAGCTCTATTAAACGCCTTGAGAGCACGGAGCCCATACATCCAGTCCCAATGCAGTAAAAACAACAAATTAGGCTCTGACCGCAGCACCCAGCGCACCACCGGTAAATTGAGTACCGCCGGCTTGTCGAGGAGCGCCAGATCCGCCACCTCGTCCTCCCCCTCGACCACCACGCTGGCCGCCCCTGTTCCCACCGCGTCCGCCTCGGCCGCCTTGTCGTTCGAAAGCATTAGCTGTGCCTTGTGTTCTCGTCTCCAGTGTCCGCTCGTTGCTCTCAATGAGACCACTTGCCTTGTCACTGAGGGTCAAAGCCAAGCTCTGCAATCTGCTCAACTCAACGCCCTTCCTGAAGATGATGGAAGAGTTGACTTGATCAAGAGCAGCTTGAAGCTCTTCGTGGCTGATCATCTTACTGACAATAGCAGCGACCTTTCGGTCGGTCAACTCAAACATCGACGAGAGCGTGGCGACAGAAAGTGTATCGTAGTAAGGTGCGTAGGTGAATAGATATGTTCGTAAGCCTTCCTCTTGGATCTGCTCTGAAAGCATCGCCTTGATGGAATCGGGTTTTGCCATAAGCTCCCAGATTTTGATAGAGTGGATGAACTCGGTAGCCTTCTTCCATTCGCCTGCCGCCAAAGCTTTCGACGCTTGCATGACATGGTCTCTGGTGTTCTCGGGCGGGCCAGTGAAGATTTGTCGTTCATGATATTCGAGCATACGCCTGTAGGTCTTGCTAATGACTCGCTTCTTTATATCGGGCGACGAGCCGGTTTGTGCAAGGAGAGGTATCTCGAGTAGCATGCTGCAAGTGAGATAAACACATTCCAGGAGTTCCAAGTTTATATGCATATGAAAGGGAAGTTGGCGTTGTCGCTCCAGACGCTCCTGCTCGGGCGAAACCTGATTATATCGCTGGATCATGACACCTTGGGCAAGTAACTCCTTTTGGCGACCACTTCCGCAGATTTCTTGGAGGGTTGTTTGGGCCTCATAGACAAGACCAGCTCGGAAGGCGCAGAGGCCAACCTGAACAAGAGTTCGATTAAACAGAATCTGGCTGTGAACATCGAATGCATTGATGGTCTCTTGTAAATGAGACATCAACATCATATCGCGAGCCTTGTAGTAATTGTCGTGCAGAGCAAGGAAATAAATCTGGCAAAGCATTGCTCGGGCACGGATGATGCCCTCGCTGTTAACGAAAAGGTAGTTGCACAAAACGTTAACTAGGGCAGTGGCATCTGAAACTTCGCTGCGTGGTGTGATAGCAGAATCTAAGGTGGTGGGGATCGATTTCCAGCAATTTTCTTCCAGAATCTTGACTACTGCAGACGGCTGCAACGAAAGTTAGTTGTGTGAAGAGTACATAGAACCGGTTGACTGACCTTGAAGTAGACGTGATCCAGTCTTCTCATCACAATACGGTTCAGACTGTCTTGGGGGACTTGCAGACTCTCATCCTTCTTGAGACTTTCGGTATACAACAGAGTTCGAACGATGTTGTTGTAGAGAGCTCCCTCATCCGAAAGACGGTCGATGTATTCAGCTGTGTGGGGATCGATGTGTTGGAGTGATCTCGTGAGCTCATCGTCGAGTCTTTCAACATATGAGACGATGCTGCCAGGAATCTTGAACTTTTCTCCCTCAGTAATCGTTGGAGCCTTATCATCCTCCTCCCATTCTTCTGCGTTCTCAATCACAACGAGTTCTCTATTTGACTCGAGGACTTTGAGAAGATTGCCAAACTCCTGTTCTGCAGCCTTCCATTGTTCTTGGGTCATGAAAGTCTGCACGCCGGTACTTAAGTCAAATCGTGTGGAAATAAGGGTCAAAAGAACTCGAACTCGTTGATAGGGGGTTGTGGCCACTTCGTAAAGCTTCTCCATAATCTTGATCTGCTCGGTTCTGTCTGTATTCTTCTTTCCTCGAGACTCCATGATAGTTCTTAGATGCTTGAGAATGCTCTCGGGTGTGAATTGGAGTGTTCTTCCACCCTTGCCAACGGTTGAGAATCCCTCATCGTCATCGTCGAATGCAACATCAAGCGCACCGGGCACAGCCTTTGGCTTTTTGTTCTTCTGGAGAGGGACTTCCTCCTCCTCGTCAGATTCCATGAATCCATCCTTGTCTGCCTTGTACGCATCGATGTCCTTCTGGAAGTCCTTGTTATTCTTCTTGATTCGTTGTTTGACAGCGTTGAGGCCTCGAGCATTGGTCGCATTCATCTTCTTTGTCGATACCTTCTGCTTGGCAATGGTCTCATTCATGAAATCTTCGAGTTCTGCAATGGCCCTGATATATGGCTTTGGGGTGTTGCCAGCTTGGACGAGTTTGACCACCTGTCGATTGAGCTTGTCGAACTCTGGTCATTGTATTAGCCACTGACTGGCCATACTTGCCCAGTATCACATACCTGTAGAGATAACGCCCCAGTCATTGATCTTTTGTCCATTTTCGATCGCCTTGACGGTGGCCTCCAGTTCCTCCAGTCGTTTATCTTTGGCACTCTTCACAATTTTGGCCCGGTCCTCATCGCTGCTCTCGTCACTTTCTGACTCTGCGTCTCGCATGAATCTGTTTGCGCCACTCTTCTTCGCGCCATCCTCGTCCTCGCTGGAAGAGTCCTCATCATCGTCATCTTCTTCCTCCTCGTCCTCGTCCTCGTCGGAGGCAACCTTCTCTTCGACTTCTTCCTCAGAGTAGAGCTCTTCCTCGTCCGATGAGCTGCTCTCGCTCGAGCTGTCGCCGTGGAAAAATCGAGACATATTTGCGTGTAGGTGGGAGGTTGTGGAGTCCGGCGCGCGGTCTTTAATTTTTGCAAAATTGTCGCGACGAGGTGCGTGGTTTGGAGGGGTTACAGTAATTAAGCGAGGCTGCCTATCAGAAAAGCCCCAAGTGCTGAAGTGCTGAGAGATACGCAAGCAAGTCGGCTAACGAAGAATTCAAGAATCACCTTCCAGTCATTCACTTGGATTTGGACTTGGACTTGACTCGGGCTCCTGAAATGGAAGAACATAGATAGGTGCTGTTAATTTTATTGGTGACGGGAGTCACTGGGTCTTGCTAACTGTTCGAGTCACGACCCGGGCTGCACAGTGCACACCCCCAACACCACTAATTTTACATCCACGCCAACCAGTCCTAGTATCAGAAACCAACGATCCTCCGGAGAGAATTTCCAACCCCCCCCCCCAGAAACCAACAAGATCCAAGCGCCAGCGTGACCGCCCAAGCTCTCTACTTTTGACTCCATCTCTGCTCAGGTGCCCACGTAGAGGACCACCAGGTTCCCTCAAAAACTCCTTGCTTCGCAAAGACGCGAACCAAAACGCCCATCTGATGCCAGTAGCCATACACTGTATGGCTGTAATTTTCAAGCCCCAACATCGTTTGTCGCGCAGGCCACCCCGTAAATTATATTTATGTGCCCCTCGTGGCCCAGTCTGGGTGTTCTGTAACTTTCCATGGCTTGATTCCGTTTGGATTCTCAGCCCTGCTCTTTCTGGCTTGTTCAAGGACTTTGAGGCTCTCTTCGTCATTCATCAACTTCCAGAATTGCTGCAGTTCTTGATTCGCAGTGCTGGTGGATCTCCTGAACTCGTGGTAGAGCGTCTCGGCTGGAAATGGAGTTAGCTGCTTGTTTCCGATTTCCCAGATTTGGGAGGCGAGGGTTATGAAGGGACTTTGCAATACATACGTGACGGTTGCTTGGTTGTCAGGGGTGCAATGAGCCTTGGGACCGCGGTCCGCAATCCACGAAGCTACAGCACATATCAGCAATAGGTTCATCGCAATTGGCCTTGGGTTCCAACTTGGATATGCATCTCCTTCAAGGTGTTCATCGCCTTCTCAAGCCGTTCCTCGTCCCACTTATCCTCCCCAGGGCTTGAGGCAAGGTCTTGACCATTCTCAACAGGGGCAGCATCTGCAGATGCTTTCGAATTGTCCTGCTGAGCACTCGCCATTTGCGCGACACGGGGCCAACCAGAGTCTCCAGAAGCTTGGGGCTCTGCTTCTGCGGTTCTTGTATGTGGGCTCCAAGCGTCTTGCCGATCAAGAGTGTTGAAAGGAGATTGTGGGGTACTTTGAGCCTCAATGTGGCGCACATCTCCCCCGACGCTAATCCCGATGGGCACTGATCAAGAGACCCTTGTTCAAAACTCCAATATCAAAATTCCAGACTGATTTAAAATCTAAACAAGCTTGTGCTTGATCCTGTCGATGACAATCTACAACACAAAGCTCAAACTGTTTCTCCAGCCATCTACGCCCAGGCACCCCTCAATTCCATGCATTCCATGCACCACCTCGACAGGTATTGAGTGATCCTTCCCAAGATTTTGACCCTGTCTGGTCTTCCGGCTTTTTTAATTCACGACCAAAGCCATGAAAACTGAGATTCTCTTGCCCTTGCAAGGCGAGGATTGCCGCTAGTGGTTCTTCGCCCCGGCGCTAGGCACGTCACAATCCATCCCGACGGGAATCTTGTCTCGTTGGTGCCGACATTGCAGAGCTTTACTTGCAATCAACGACACCCCGTCACTACATAACAACTTGCTCCTTGCTCACCATGGCGCAACATAACAACGGTCCTCTGGCTGGTGCTGGCAGCCCAAACACTAGCAGGACTTCCATGGAGTCTGACAGTGCTTTCCATGCAACTCCCCTGATCACGTCAACACCCCCAAAGATCGGTGACTACCCGTCAAAGAATGACTCAACGTTCATGCAAAATCAAATCTCTATACAACGGAGTCCTTCAACTGTTAAAGAGCAAGCCTCTGCCCTCTCTCGGAAACTATCCATCAAATCGAATGACAGTCACGGCAGCAATGACGCAAACCAAGGCCACCCGGGCATCACAAATGTTCTCTCATCCATTCCTCAGGCTGATGAGCAGATGGACCGTGGACGTGCTCGTGGTGACTCAACTTCCGGCATTGTCGAGGCTGCGGAAAACTGTACTCTGTCAAAGTCAAACTCCGATCGATCTGGCAAATCTATCAGTGGTAAGTCTGTACGCTCCATCCATGCGGTTGGCACCTGTCCGCTGGGCACTCTTCGCGTCCATTCTCCCTCGCCAACTCGAGCTCCATCCGGTGAAACCTATGAGTGTTTGAAGTCAGGTGATGTTGTCATTGTTAGAGACATTCCTGCAGGATCTCTCTTTGGCTATGATTCGCGGTGCCTGGAAATTAGTCTGAAGGAGCAGTTTGAGGGTATCAAGAATATTCCGCCAGGAGCACACTTCATCTGGGGTGGTTCGGGCATATCCTCGCTTCGCAGTGGCTTCTGGCTTATGTCTTCGAAGAAGGCTTCCGACCAATTTGGTGAAATCATTGTGAAGAGATGGGACAGATACGGCGAGGTTCTAGAGGAGTAAGTAATTTTATCTTTTGGTAGCCAGCGTGATTAGGCGAGTGGGTGTTGTACCGCCACGAAGAGAAAGTTGACCTCTGGACCGTGACACTGACAGTGGACAGGGAGATTAGTGCTGCCGAGATTCGCATTCAACGAAAGGGCCTTCCCGAGTTCGAGAATAGACTCCTATCTTACGACCTGTCCTCTTCTCGTGGCTCGGAAAGTCAAACCACTGCTCACGCTACAGCCACAGGTGAATGGCAACAACTGACTTCCTGCATGAAAGGAGCTCTTCTTACTAAAATCACCGGTCATGAGTGGAACCACTGGCAAGTCTCTTCTACGCATGATATCAAGTCTGTAGATCTATCCGCTGGTAGAGATGAGGTCCTTGGTTTTATCTTTCCAAAGGCCGACCGAACCTTCTCAATGGCTTCTAGAGGTCGGGTAAGTCTTACCCTATGCTGCGATTTTCTCCTCGCTCCTCGCCCTTCCGGGAGCCGTAGAGCTACCGCGGACATCTTCTTGACTGTTTCCTTGGTATTCGATCCGAGACGCCTTCGAGACTCACTATCTCCTTCGCACTCTCCTCAATTTAACGTTGCTGATTCGCTGTGAAGGACCGCACCGAGCAAGCAATGGATACAAGCTCCCATATCAAGGCGATTATCTCAGGTAGCTGCACGTATGAAGATTCTGACGAGATCATTGGAGAAATTCAATTCTGTTATCTCACAGGCATGCTTATCGGAAATGCGGCATGCATGGAACACTGGGTAAGATTTATTTTCACAGCCCGCCCTCATTTGTTTTGTCTATTCCATGAGAGCCAAGAGCCCGTGCCCTTTCTCAGGAGCCAAAACAGCTCCGAAGCCTCCCCATTCTCTCCGAGTTTCTCGATCTATAGTATCTAATTCTCTGGACAGGCCCACGTTGTCAAGATCATGTTCAAGGCATATCGTCTCGTGTTGGAGCTTCCCGTCTTCTACTGCAAGTTCATTCAAGCAGTCCACGCTGAATTGATGTTCGATGAGGCAACAATGAGTGGTGGCAGCATCCTCGACTATGAGCCGGATCTCCGCAACGAGTTCAAGATGCTTTTGATCACTTTCAAATCGCGTCTGAATGAGCAACTGCTAGCTCAAGGTTCTGACCTATCAGATCAACAAAGTGCTGTGGGCAAAACTTTCGAGGCATTGGAGTCATGGCTTTGGAGATGGGGCTGGGATCTCCGAGGAAACTACGTTCGTTCCGGCAAAATCCAACTTGAGGACGGCGGTACGTACAAAACCGAATTCCCTTTCCTCACGTAAATGCTTCATGATATTTTCGTGAGGCAATATCCTGATCCTCTCGAAAACAGACTCATTAACGGATTGCTGATTTACCTTGTTAGAGATGGTTGAAGCTGAACTCAAGGACTTCGAGGCTGAGGACGAGAGAGGTGAGTTTGCGCCAGCCGTGGTCACGCTGGATTCAGAGGGAAGAGAAGAAGGTCTCATAAAGTTTTAGTTGCGTTTCTCTAATTTCCTTTGGGTGCTCTTAGGTCTAGGCAAGAAGGTCTCTCGTCGGAATTCTCGTTCAGCCGTTAAGTGGAAGTTCTAGTATACCGGCATTCATGATTCATGGTTTGACAAGTGCAACAACACGATTCGACTCTCTGTTTCGACTTAAGAGTATCTCATTGGGTTAGCGCATCTCAAAATTTCTTGGGGCAGGATATCATGATTGATGGGCGGATGAATGGTTGGCATTTGGCATGGTGCTCTGCATTTTCCTTTGGCTTCAGGCTGGGAAGGGGGATCTGTAACTTGTGTGATCAGAGACTGGGCATAGCGAAGGCGTTTTACTACAGGACGGATATGAAGTTTAGGAGCATAAAGATGTACATGGAACTGCACTTGAGGCTTTTTCATAGCCATTGGTTTTCTACTGTTGCGCTATAAAGCTGCAATGTGACACGTAGAGCAAATTGGGGGCCAGGCAAATGATGCCGTCCTCCCTCGTAGTTGTCAATCCACAGTGAAACCCAAGCCATGTAAACACCATCCCGCGAGTAATCTAGAGACGACGGCCACGGCGGCCACCCTTGCGGCGAGTGGAATCGGATGGAGTGGGAGTAACATCCTCAATTCTGCCAATCTTCATGCCGGAACGAGCGAGAGCACGGAGAGCAGACTGGGCGCCTGGACCTGGGGTTTTGGTGCCGTTACCTAGAGAAATCGTCAGTAGGGTGTCAAAGCAAAACTCTGGGTGAAAGTCTTACCTCCAGTAGCACGAATCTTGATGTGGAGAGCGTTGATGCCCAATTCCTTGCATCGAGTAGCGACGTCTTGAGCAGCCAGCATAGCAGCGTAGGGAGAAGACTCGTCACGGTCTGCCTTGACCTTCATGCCGCCGGTGACACGAGTGATGGTTTCGCGGCCACTGGAATCACCCAGAAAGTCAGCCTATGAGCCATTCCACAAACATGTATATGGTATGTATTCCAATTCTCCCAGTATTCAGTGTTCAAAGGTGTACGGACCTGAGATCGGTGACATGGACGAAGGTATCGTTGAAGGATGCGAAGATTCTGGCAACGCCGAAAACAAGCTCTCCTGTAGTCTTGTTAGCATTGTGCAATGCTAAAACAGCGGATGGGAAGGGCGGTGATATAGCGGGGTCCCGATTGGGGAAGAGTCTCGAGGAATGGGAGATATTTACCATCTCTGACTTGGGGGCCGAGGGAGATGTTCTCCTGGGCGGGGCGTGCAGCTTTCTTTGGAGGCATGGTGAGTTTATGGTGTTGGTGATCTGGTGCAGTATTTCAGAGGTTGAAAGTTCGTCAGATTTCGAAGAAATTATTGTGTGGAAAACTTAGTCACCTTCGCCAGCACGACAGAGCGCGTTGATTGGCTGGTGCATTTAGTTGGAAGGCGGTGTGATTTTCTGCAATGACTAGCGCGGCCCCGAGCTTCTTTGCTAGGTATTTTCCAACGACTTCAAGCTTCAGTCCCTTCCACTTCAAAATGTCATGAATTGACTTTCTGCAACAATGCCGCCTGCGGACGGGGGAATGGTTGTTTGGTTTGTGATAGCTATCATCGAGATGCTCGATATGGGGAAGCTGGATGCTCGTTGGCTCCAAAATGTTGGTGGGCAAAAATAAATCTTCCCATCCAGTGTCAGTGACTACAATCTTAAATACTGTATAAGCAACCACTTAGTATCATTTTAATTTCTTTTACTTTTTCTCATGGGCACGGCCCCGGCCAGCTTTCTTCTTCCCCTCTGTTGTTTCTTGTACTCTGATGCACGGAAGGCGAACTCTTTCCCCAGCCCAAGCAGGGTCCACGAGTTGCTATCAAGGAGGTGTCGTACGACCACCGCACGCAGACTGTCACAGTCAGAAAGCAACAGCCAACTATGAAGCGGCCGCCGCGATTTGTATCTTTCGAGGAGAACCGTGCGGCGCTAAGTAAATTGTATGGGAAGAATTTCGCTTTCCAGCCGATTCCAGGACTTGACTCCACCAAAGCTGAGAGAGTTCCAAACAAGTGCGTAACGCGCCCGGTCTTTACTGGTGTGCCTGGCTTCTTTAGGGGCAAAACTAATCAAGCAAAGTGTCTAAAATCAGACACTAAGCTATGGCCATGGTGCTTCACGCTGCGTCGCCCTTGGGTTTGGATCTCGTTGTCAGACCCTCGCCAACAGTATTCGGAATTCAACTTCATTCGGCTTCCGAATAGGGACATGAAGGGGCCTCAGAGTATCGACGGACTGCCTCTGTTGAGGTCAACGCGAATGGGCCGAACCCAGACGAGGACGAAGATGCAAAAGCTGTAATTGGCGAGGACGAATAGATCCTTGAATTGAAACATGTCGCCAGCAGAAAACTCTAAGGTTCTATGGCATGCAACAGGCAAATTTGGATGTGTTGAAGTAGCATTTGGTCCCTTTTTCTGGTGGGTGCGGAGGCATGAGACTGTTTAGCCTGCAGAGGGTATATCTGGATAGCAGCTTATCGTTTAGGGCTGCACGGACACTTTCTTTGCGTCTTCAAATAGCTTATGCTTCCGGGGGAGTGGCTGGGGAGGTGCGATGCATTTTCTTTGACGGGACGACTCCTTGCGAGACTTCAGGACATTGCGCAAGGAGATAGATAGCAAGAACCTGGAACACGTGACACAACTCTACAACGCAGACCCCAAGTTAAAGAACCAAAAGCCAAGGCATTAACGATTTGCAACACATTCTTTTCTAAATGAATGCATTATTATTTATGATTCCGGCCTTTCATTCCTCTCGTGGGCTTTTCAGATATTCTCACTAGTCACGGCCCGAATGCTCGCTAGTGAATCGAACTCGGCTAAGAATGGAATAGTGTGTTGGCTAGCGGGCTACAAAACTTCATCGCTTGAATGTTCATCTTTAATTTCTTGAATTCTGCAAGTCTTCACCTTCGACCTTCCAGATGGCTGGAAAGGTGAACAATTTCGCGATCGGCCTTATTGGCATGGGGGATATGGGGAAGATGTATGCCAATAGGCTCAGCGAGGCAGGATGGAGGTATGTCCCATTCTTGGCTTTGAGCCGATATTACCATGGTAAGCCTTCACCTTTTCTTCCTCGACGCCCTCTCTTACCATGATGACCTATCGAGTGCATTTGGCTAGAGTATTATCTTCAGCGCCCCCGGTATCATTCTGGTTCCGGGTGTCGCGGTTGGTTTTCAATGATGAAACAACTCAGCTACCTTATTTTTCATTGTCTGATTTTATTCACCTTCAACCTTTTCTCGTACTCAACCTTCAACCTCAGTTCCACAAGCTAATGGTTTCAATCCAAGATTAAACAGGTCAATGATCGACGCTAATCTGCCATACCACAGAGTAAACGCCTGCGACAAGGAGGACAAATACGAGAGCTTGTGTGAAGAATACGGAGATAGAGTAAACACCTTGTACATAGCATATCCCTCATCAAGTGCTGAGAAGTCCATAGAAGAATATCTATATATTTCCCAATGGCCATCTCGTGTCCAGAGCAAGCGACTACATAATCTACAATGTCGAGGCCGCTTCCATTGACAAAGTCGCTGCTCAATATGGACCTTGTACGTAGTGATCAATGCTCTCTCATTCCTTTCCTAACGCCGATGATGTTCTAGCCACAAAGCAGGGTGCTATTGTCGGTGGCCAAACATCTTGTAAAGCCCCAGAAATTGCAGCATTTGAGAAGCATCTACCAGAAGATGTGGACATCGTTTCATGCCACTCCCTCCATGGTCCCAATGTTGATCCCAAAGGACAGCCATTGGTGAGTAAGGCTTGTGATCTTACGCTTCTTATTTTGACCCATTCATTAGGTACTGATCAAGCATCGCGCATCACAAGGGAACTTTGACAAAGTCGAGCATGTCCTTTCATGCCTCGGATCAACCCATGTCTATCTCTCAGCCTCTCAGCACGATCGTATCACAGCAGACACCCAAGCCGTCACTCATGCTGCTTTTCTTAGCATGGGTAAAGCCTGGCACGCCAATGCTCAGTTCCCTTGGGAGATCGCACGTTACGTAGGCGGCATCGAAAACGTCAAGATCAACTTGACTCTTCGAATATACTCCCAGAAGTGGCACGTTTACGCAGGTCTAGCAATTCTGAATCCATATGCCAAAGAACAAATCCGACAATACGCACAGTCAGTCACAGATCTGTACAAGCTGATGCTTGGCGGACACCGAGAGGAGCTTGAAGACCGAATCAAGGAAGCAGGAGCAAAGGTTTTCGGAGCTCAGACGTGGGATGAAGACTTGCTGCTGAAAGATGAGGTGTTGGATCGCTTCTCACTGGGCAATAAACCCTCAACGCCTCTTCCAAATAATCACTTATCTCTCCTTGCCATGGTAGACTGCTGGTCTCAACTTGGCATAGTCCCTTATGACCACATGATATGCTCAACTCCTCTCTTTCGTCTCTGGCTTGGCGTCACGGAATATCTGTTCCGCAAGCCTGCTCTTCTGAACGATGTGATCAGGATTGCGATCGAAGATAACACATTCAGGAGCGATGACTTGGAGTTCACTTTTGCGGCGAGAGGATGGAGTGATTGCGTTACATTTGGTGATTTCGAGGGGTACAAGGATCGGTTTCTGAGCACGCAGAACTTTTTTAAGGGCAGGTTTGAGGATGCTACTAGGGTGGGCAATGAGATGATAAAGACTATCTTGGAGAATACTCAGAAATAACAAGTGAGGCAATCCCATCATATACGGTTTGCACAAGGCTAGGGCGTTTGCATTGCTGGACAAGCGTTGTGGCTTTCGATGTAGTTAGGAAACTACACCTTTTACTGCATACTTGTTCTTTAGTGATGATTGTGAAGTTCTGCAAACCTTGATATCTGAAGTGCGCCCTAGAGCTCAAAGACGACCTGCATGAGACCTGTTTCTCGGCATTGCTAAGGATTTCTCCAATTCATACGCAAAGAGGCTGGACCCATCGACGATAACATTGCAGTCCAAGAATCACAGTTGAGGCCAAACGTTCCAAGATCCATATGTTCTCAACTCCTGCGTATGCGGGAAGAATCTTGCATTTGTCTGCTAAAATTCTACAGCCAGCAAATAGTTTCGCCCATCCATTGCAAATGCAGCACAAACCACTTTCCCAGACCCAAGCTCCCAGACAAATCCCTCTTTAACGGTATGACTTTTGGTATCTGGCTCTTGCACCGGGACCTGGAACACAAATTAGCACCATTCTGCACCTCCTCAACCCAGCAGAGCCTACCTCCAAACTTCTTGGGCTCGCATCGTCTGTTGTCCGCAACCAACAGCGTTCGGTCGTACTGAACCAGCGACTGCTTCAACAGGTTCTTGGAGTGCTCATCGACGAACTTCTGGTAGTAGGCGACAATGGACTTGGAGATGGCTTGACGGATGGCGTAGATTTGAGATGTGTGTCCACCACCAGTCACTCGGACGCGGATATCGACGTTGGCGAACTTCTCGAGACCGACGATGAGGAGGGGTTCGTAGACCTTGAATCGGAGGATCTCAGGTTGGACGAGGTTGAGAGGCTTTCCGTTCACCTTAACCAGTCCTTTTCCGGCCTATTGTACCTCTCGTCAGTATTCCATCATCTTCGTTCTCGCCGCGGGAATTGGAGCTTTGAAGTAGCAGCAGGCCAGGACAGGGATAGGGGCGCTCTTTACCCTGCAGTGTGCTACCGCAGTAGCAGTCTTCTTCTTGCCGAAGCATTGAACACTCTGTGTTGAGGCCATATTTGCGGTTGGTGTCTCAAGAGTGGTTTTCGGGATGAAGTCGAAAATTGCTGTGGGATTAAAGTCGCTAAGCGAATGTTCCACCGCTGCCAGATCTGGGCATGTGTTTCTTTGAATAACGGTCACGGGAAATTATATAATCAACCACGTGAGTTCGAACAACGACATCTGCCTCAACTTCAACAGTTCTCGCAGTTTCCAGGATCGGGGCGGGCCCTTAGAATCCACATCATGTCTAGGAAAGGAGTCGGCCTTGCGGCTTTTGATCGATCTCGGATAACATCAGCCCAATATGCATCTCACGGCAACAGCCTTCGAAGCTCCCACTCCACATCCATTGCAACCCAGCTCTCCGTCTTCCGGTCCCTCTTACAAAACTTCGCCCAAACCCATGCCAAAGACATTCGTTCAAATCCAAGTTTCCGCGCCGAGTTTGCACGCATGTGTGCCGCGATAGGAGTTGACCCCCTGGCAAGCAGCAGCGGAGCCTCGGGGAAAGATGGAGGGGGAAGTTTCTGGGCTCAGTTACTCGGGAACAGCGTCAATGATTTTTATTTCGAGCTTGCTGTGAGAGTCGTGGAAGTTTGCGGCGCTACGAGGGAAGAGAATGGAGGGCTCATAGGCGTGAAAGAAGTCAAGGACCGCATCATGAGCACGAGGATGGAAGGAGGGACTGAAATCACGGAGTGCGTATTTGCTAATGAAAGGTGTGGTCTCCAGGAGGTGCTAACTACTCCAGTGATGATATCCTACGCGCGGTCACTACGCTCAAGCCTTTAGGGTCATCTTATTCCACCCTCACGGTTGGCCATAAACTCTACATACGCTCTGTCCCCAAAGAACTTAATGTTGACCAGAGCGCCGTGCTTGAAGCAGCTCAACTTCTTGGCTATGTGAGTGTATCGATGCTGATGCTGAATTTGAGATGGCCGAGAGCAAGGGCGAAAACAGCGGTTGATGATCTTGTTTCCGAGAGTATGCTTTGGGTGGATAAGCAATGTGATGAGTGGGAGTACTGGAGTCCTGGATTCATGCTTGAAATTCAGGGGGGCGGCAATGCTGGATGAAGTCGCCCGGCCGACGAGTCACCCAGCGATAGCATTGAAGTGGTATGACTGAAGGCTCTGGTCCATTTGCAATGGAGAGCCTTACAGGAGTCCTGGATGGGGTCCGGAGATGCAGTGGCTTGGTATACGAACTGCTGGTGATATGAGAATGAACGGCGGGAAAAGGTTGAGGTGTGACGAAGATCAAAGAGATATGCCTTGTGATATTAGATTCAAGGGGCGACTTTCGGTGTCGACAAAGCTGAATGCTGGAAGGATATCAGGGATGCCTTCGTGGCGAGTTGATAATCGATTCGAGCGACAAAGATAGAGGAAATTAAGGAAGGGACCATGAATCAACGCTGCACAATATCCTTTTTTTTTTCAACTTGCTCAACTCGTTTGCGTCAAATCGCTCGTATCTGTACTCCCAGGGCTAGGCGTTTGAGGACGTCCGGCCGTCCAGGCCACCGGCGATGCGAAGTGTACTCTAGGCGCTGCTGGATTCCTAGGTGGAGGTGGACTGCGTGCTGCAATTGCTGTACCCGCTCTTTCGGTCGTGGCCTGGCGATCTTGCCTGGCTTTCAAATCTTCCGCCCACTTTCTCTGAAGTGACAACCACCAGGAGCTTAGACCCCATAAGAGCAAGCCCATTGCCGTGAGGCCGCCGATGATGACTGCTATGACGGCGTTTCCTTGCATTGCGAGAAGCCCGTATCTGGAGACCTGAAGCTTGAGTGGGAAAGGAGTGGGACGGGGCTTGTGAGACCATGAAAAGGTTGTTCATTAAGTAGTAATGGGAGAGGATGTTATTCAGCTTTTGAGAGACATAGCCTGCGTGGTCGTGAATCACACTGGTCTGTATAACACAATCTAAACTTTTGGGTTTGGAAAACGTGCACAAATTATTCGATGAGGTTCCAACGTTCTCGTGTTTGCTCTAATTATAATTCTACATTGTAGAGAAGTGTCATCCTTCCTCTTAGATTTGTGCCAGCATTTGATGCTTGAGCTCTGGAGGCAACAAGCCCTTTAGCTGCCGGTTACACGGAAAGAGACTGGAAATCAAACACCCATCTTTGGCAACCGCCTCGAGCATGGAATCTTAATCTGCGAAGTGTACTACCGAAGCAAGCTTATCAACAAGTTTTCATATCCTTAAAGCATATGAAAGTGAATACTGAACTGAGCTATAGATCCAAATCGCGATCCTTGATTTGAAAACACTTGTGCCTGTAAGGATTCTCAACTGTAAAATTTAAGCCCTTCTTCCCAGCAAACACATTTCGTTCTGGTCAAGGCCTTTTCATCCTATTGCTCTTATATGAAGATATAACGGTACGTTAACAACCAAGAAAGGGGAATTACAGAGAAGGACAACAGAGACTAATCACCAAACATGGACACAACGTGGGGGATTAGCCTGAAACCATACAACTACGGCTAGAAAAGCGGAAACTCCTTTGGCGAAAGCACTTGATGCCCTTGGAAGTTCCTTCTATCGTCTGTGCAAACGAAAGACATTCGAAGTTCTACAAAGTTCTTTCTAACGATCGCAAAACTTCACTGAACCTCGCGCTCAATAGAACACCCCAAGACGCACAGAGAGCCATCTGAATTTTAGCATTAATTATTAAAGAGCACGGAGGGTTACCTCGTTACCTGTCATCTCAATGTCCCAAACCGTTTCCAGCATCTCCTTTTCCTTTAGCATGGAGTTATACTACGACTGTGATGCATCAGACTGATCGGTTAGAAACCCACAAAACGAGAAAAAACCATGTCCGTTCCTGAGAAGCTCCTGTGTCGGAGACCGTCTTGGAATTCCACAAAAACGCAATGCACTAGATATTAATTTTCTTAAGGGTCGCCTGATGACTGCATCAAATTTAGTGTCTCCTCCGTTAAAGCAAATGAACGTCCTTTACATAATGGGCCACATCTGTTGTGATGGGTCCATTAATCTTGAGATTTTTGAGGCTTCTCAGCCCAGTGCATAGTGTCAACGCCTCGGTAAATTCTCAGCCTTTGTTTTCATCCAGCAGTACATGTTCTCTTTTCAAAAAGGAGCTTACGACCTTCGAGGAAGACGTAACAAGTGCCGTACTTGACCCCAACCCCAAGTGTAACCCAGTTGCTTCCCCCTTTCCTTTTAACTTGTCCCTGGACATTGCTTGAGAAGCGTTTAACCTTGAATTTCTTGTTCAACGCTACATATTACCTTTAGCTTCTTCAGCTTCAGGGCCGAGGCTCTACCAAGCGGTAGGGGAACTACTTTCCGGCAGGATATGTAGTCTAAAAAGGATGGAGGTGAAAGCTCTGTGGCAACAGCTTGAAGGCCGTCAAGCTCAAAGATACACTGGGTACACCCTAGTCACATGAATTTTTACCGTGAAAATAGCAGGGTATCTTCCATACTTGCAAAGGATCAAATGACACAAAGTTTGGATCGTAAGTGAACTACTTAATAAGTGAAAGATGATGGAAATTTGAGTCACATGTGCACTTGATGATGTAACAGCCAACTTATGTCAGTGCTTCTAGAAAGTGACAGGGGCGGATGAAGAAGGTCTGGATACAGTTCCTTCCAGCTGGGAAATTCGAGCCCCGCATTCGCAGTACTCCCCCATGCTTGAGACAACGGATTGTCACCAACCACCCGTAACACGACCGCGGGCTGATTCACTGCACAGACAGCAAACTGCAGGTTCCTGAAGAGCCTTTCCTCAATAATGCCCTCATCCTTCACCGTTTCCGTACCAAGGACGCCATCTCACATGGCTAGCACGCGCCTCCGCTTGGATCGCAGCAAGTCCTGTGTTCCTGCATCTCTAGCCGCTTGGGTACTTGTGCTGAGAGTCGAGACTAAAGCAAGGGTTTTTATTGCGGAAGGGAATTCTTGACGACGAATTTTTCTATATCGGGGGCTGAGACCCCCTTTCCCAGGCGGTTCTGCTCCGGCAACTTTCCCTGCAAGCCGAGTGGCCACCTGTACAGGAGCAAGTTAGCAACATGAAAGCAATCAGGGATAATTTTGAGGGGTCGGGGAGAAACAGGCCGCTTCCGCAGCTTTGATTTGCTGGCAGCACGCCGTGATGGGAATAAATCGGAAATAGGGCACGGCAAGGAATCTATCGGCAGGAACGATGATGAGAGGGAAAACATCAAACATGTCCTCCCATGCAAGATATCGTCAGCGAAGACTTCATGCCGATTGGCAGTTTGGTGCACGGGCTGGTTCATGCCGTGACCAGTGGGACCATGGTGACAATTTGGCTGCAGTGAATCAGTGATGCCGAGCAGATTCGAGGTTTCAGGCGAGGCGTGGCCGTGGCTGGTAATCTTGCACGGATTGGGGAATATCAAAGTGGATGGGGTTTCAGGGTTTGGCAGAGCGATCCAGGAGCGGGATTTGCTGCAGGATGTGCCGTGTTTCTCGAACATTTTCCCCTCAGGGTGGATTCGTTTGGGAGGCGCAGCAGTGCAGCAGCGATGCCGCGATGGCACGATGGCACGATGCAGGCCCAGAAGCTTTTCTGATTTGACAATTGAGGGCGAGGAGCATTCGCCGCATCGCTCGTACAAAGTACTTTGTATGATTGTATAATTGTGAATATATGATTGTATGGGAGGCAACCCGGAGACAGCGAGGGGTTCCGCTGGAGGCGGCCTCGGCAAAACGGTTCCTGGGCGACGAACGAGCGAAAGATGTCGCGCGTCAGTACTGGACCATCTCCGCGGATCGATCTCAGCGGAAGCCAGCTGCTGGGTGGTGTTGGTGCTGGCGCTGGCGCTGGTGGGAAATCCTCTTAGCTGTTGGCGGGGAAAGGCGAGAGGAGCGCTCTGCCACTTTCCGGCAAGCTCGTCGGCTGAGGATGAGAAACATGACACGAGGGAAGGGAAAAGGGATAAGGGAAAAGCGTAAAGGGTAAAGCGAAAAGGGTAAAGCGAAAAGGGTAAAGCGAAAAGGGTAAAGCGAAAAGAGAAAAGCGAAAAGGGGGAGTGGCCTGCCTCCTCCCCTTTCTCACGTGTGATTTGGCGAGCCTCGTCGGGAGAACACCGCGCCGGGAAGCCCGGCCAGTCTTTTCCGCCGTCGGCAGGGATCTCCAGTCTCTGCTTAACCTTAATCTTAGCGGAAATAGCGGTACGGAAGAGAGGGGTGTCAGGGACTCAGGAGTCAGGCCCAGGGGACTCGAGGAAGAGGTACTCCGTAAGTAGTAGTTAGTAAGTAAAAAGAAACTTCAAACTTCAACGTCAAATGACGATGTGACGGTGGAGGCGGCCCCACATCGTGCATTTGCACTTCCATCCCAGCTGGAGAGAGCACGCGTCGCCGTCGTCCAAAGACGGCTAACAGGAATCTTGACAAAGAACAATCCCCCACTGTCCAGGCTGGCTTATCCCCGCAAGGCAGCTCTAAGCGGGCTCGACTTCAAGGACGACAGCTGCCAGCTGGAAATTGCTTGGCTTGGCTCTTCTTGCAAGGCAGGATTCCGAATTCCCGACTTTCCAAGGCTGGGCGGTAGTCATAGTCATAGTAGACACAGGTCTCGAGGAATACTACTTTGTAGCTGCCAGTTACAGGAGCCCCTGGCTGGGCCACGAAAAACCTATGTACCTGCAAGCTGCAGCCCTTGAACCCACATCGATATGGCCTCGCTTCACTTTACATGAAGTGAAGATGAGATTTGTGACCCTTCTCCTTTCTCTTCCCTCCTCATCTCAGCTGCTCCCTTTTACGTACGATCGCCCATCCCTCTGGTGGCGCTCGTTCGGCCACATCGTGGCCAGTCTTCCCATCCCTGTGGCGATCAAGAAGGTGGAGAAACATCAATTTGGATGCTGGGGCCATGCAACCATTCAGCCATGCGTTGGGACCATTGGGGCAGGGCTAGGAAGGGAAAGGGGTTGCACTTGATAGAAGAATCCCTCTGGCCGCGGGGTTGTGTCGCCATCGATCAATCCTGCACTCTTGTCAAATCCAAAATGATTCTTCGCCGGGGCGCGTCGAGTCGACAGGGCCGAGGAGTAGATGCCAGAGCACAGGTGGTGTCCAAGTCCGTAGATGGTAGACCCCTGGCTGGCCCTGCGTCATTTGATAGATCAAACAATCATACCGGAGCCCGTGAGAGGCAGGATCGCTGGTCAGAGCAGTCAGCCGTGACCTGTGAACCTGTGAAGCGAAATCCTCGCCCGTTGTCGTCTTTCATTGCCGCGCTGGAGCTCGCTGTTGCGATGTTGTCGTGGACTTCGAGTCTCGCGTTGACATGGCCCGCGATCTATGATCGCCTCTTTAGTTCGATCTGATCTCCAGCCCCTGTCCTCCGTCGTTTCCTGAGCTGATGGCATTTGTAGGTGGGAGGATGGCATTCTTGTTAGCAAATGCTTGGCACCATAGACACGCTTGGAGCATGTCACCTAACAGGCTCTCTTAATCGGGTTCCATTACCGTTGCGGCGGGAACTAAAGTCCTGCGGGGAGTCGATTAGTCCTGGGCCACGACTAGGAAACAGATCTGAGCTTCGTATCGATCACTTTAGCTTCTGCAGAAGGCCGAATATTGTTAATATCAACGTCTGTCCAAATCTCCGGACCCTTCCTTGCGACTCCAACCTCCCACGTTCCGGTGCCAAGTGATGAAACAACTTGCCCGAATCAAAGGCATCCTCGCAGGACCCTGGTGCACGACATCTGCCGCTGGCTCGCAATTTTTTCTAGCCGCCTTCCCGAAATGACCGAGATGTGCGGTCAAGAACCCCAATCAAGTGAACCTCGCGAGGGAATGATCGGCAGCGTGAAAAGGGGAAGGGCATGGGAGGGGTTGAACTTGCACAATAATTCACAATTATTGAAGCAGCACACTCTTCCTTCGTGTGACTGGCCGCCCGGCTGTCACGGAAGCCGAGCGCCTGGTAAGGGTTCTTGCCGTCATCTCTTTTCAATTTTTCCTCGACAGAAAAATTAATCCATGGGATGATGGAAGCATGAAGAGTGGAGCAGCCAAGGGTGCCGAGGGACGGGGCGCACTCGATTCATGGTTGTGTGTATGTCATGATTGGATGAATATGTGAAAAAATTGAGACTTTAGAGCAGCTTTGTGCGTTTGCGCGTTTTCAAGCCGGGTCTCCAAAGGTAGTCGAGCCTTCAGCCACAGCCGAGCGCAAGTTGAGGTGGGCAATATTGCCCCATTCCGAGAAGTACGCGCATGCCGAATCATCTGAAAGAGGCAAAGTTATGCGTGTAAGACAACAGGCTCACCAATGACGTGCGGCGTGCAGCTCAAACGAGAAGTAGATAGCTTGTGGCTTGCCTGGATCCCAGCCCCCAGGGTTTGTGAAGTCCATTATTCCGGGCGGAAGAAGAAGAGGGAGGAGGAGAAGGGGAAGAAAAGAAGAAGAAGAAGAAGAAGAAGAAGAAGAAGAAGAAGAAGAAGAAGGAGAGTGCTTGCTGTCTGACTCGCAGTTGAATACCGATCCATTGCTTGGGTGGTACAGAGGCACAACTGCACAAGATGACACGCATGCTGAGGGTCCCACCAACTGTGCCTGACTCACATGTCAGGCCTCTCTTTTCCAGCAGTGGAGCGTGAGTGAGTGTGCAATAATATCATATAATTGCTGGGTGGAGGCAGCGGAAGCGGTCTGTGAAAGCCCACGGAAGTTCGGAATAACAAGCAGAGATTTTTCTTTGCATATGGCAAAAAACCTGTCATCTGTCCAAACATGGGTTAGGTCTCCATAGCTGGTTGTCCGTGAAGTGAAGTGTCGTGTCGTGTCGTGTCGAGTCGAGTCGAGGAGTCACTCTTCCTTTCCTACTCGGCTGACAACCCAATCCCAACCTCCAACCCCTCACTCTTCATGCAGCAGAAGCCGAAAGACCTTCCTTTCTTTGCATGTTCTCGACCAGGCCAAGAAACTCAGACCCTCGCATGGCCCCTCCCCTACGGCAATCTCCCTCCAGCAGGCATGAGGATAACAATAATCGCCCATGCAGAAGCATCTCAACGTCATGGGCTCGGATGCCGCCTCAGGCAGTCTGGCAGAGCAATTCGGCGGTGGGAGGACTCGGTGAGCGGAGGGATTCATGACCATTGACCACCTTTCTGCATCGGCTTCTTGACACATGAAATTGACAATGCGCTCGTGACCTCGACATCCTTTTGAGCCCAGTAAGAAGATGGAACGAGGCGTGTGAATTGACACGACTCGGGTTGGGGACGGTGCTTCCCTGTTTCTAAGCCTCTCATTGCAACCCCTCAAGCTTCTCGCCCTCGATCCGAATCCTCACTCGTGGAGATGCCCCTTGGCGGTGGATGTGCTGCGTGAGAACTGAGAAGACATGAATAATTGCCCGCATCAAGCCACCGCCCCCCGCTGCTGTCGAATCTCATGTTCATCCGCCTCCTGTGCTGGCACTAGACACGCATCTTCAGGGTAACCAGCTTCGATTCTTCGTCCGGGGTCGTTCTACGGCCGATATCAAGGCCCAGATACCCGTTTCGCTCCCCCTCTCCCCATCGAGCTGCAGGAATGAGACTGCTGAGCTGAGCCTGATCGTCTCCACCCAGCTAATTGTAACTGCCGCCGCCATCTATGATCTAACCTGCCTCCTATCCCGCAATACGCTATTCAGATCGATCCAGAGTACCTGGCCTAGCAGAGTGCTTCACTGCTCAACCTTGGGGTCTGAAACTGGAGGGAAACAAACGCCGCTGGTCACTGGACTCTTTGCCGCCGTGCCTCACAGATCGTAGTGTCTCCCGCACCCTTGGGTCGCCTGCACAAGCGTGCACCACCACCATCATCGCAACGGCCAAGTCACCCAGCAGCAGGGTCTGGAATAATAAAAAGAAACTTACGGAGGTACACGCACGCCCGTTGAACTGCGGTAATAGTCGGTCCCGGGCAGGCTCGCGCTTGATCGTCTCGATATCACGGATACGGCAGCCCATTGCGAGGACACAATCACGTACTGTACACATCCAGCAATCGTTCACCACGCCCATCATCACACACCTTGCACTGCACGTCTGATCCAGCGGGAGCGAAGTCTGGTCTGGCTGCATTTTTGTTGCATGGTTTTAGGGCCTGCCAGGGATCTTCCGAGTGTCTCTCCCCTGCCTTCGCCTTTCGGTCCTTCAGTGAGGTGTGGGTTCAGCGCTAGGTGCAAACCCGTTAGCTTCCTCACCTCCCATCTCCAGAGCTTCATCCTCACCACCACCGCAACCAGACGCCAGACGCCAGACGTCAGACGTCCAGAGCCTCTGCGCCGATCACCATTCACCCGGAGTGCAGACACTGTACTGCCGCGGCTCGACCACGCTCCCAACGCTCGACCTGCGCTGAACTTAATTGCTTGGAAGTGGACCATCAAGGCCCGACCACGCTCATCTTGAAAAATTTGGCGTCTGTCAGAAAAAGCAAGTCGCTCTCCAAAAAAGACCGCTCTTTGTAACTTCGCTCCCCGAGGCCCCTCCCTGCCCGCAAAGAGTATAGACTCGACCGTGTTGGCATTTCTGGTTGAGCCGCTGCCTGGTGTCCAGCTGTGTATCCTTTGTCAGATCTTTCACCCATCAGACGCGACAATCCCATTGCTCTCGGTCAAGGCCACCAGCTCCATCTTCTTCCGTCCGCTGGCCAAAAAGTAACCGGGGATCGTGCTCTTGCTGGAAGATTGTCCGCCGTGGGCAAACCATCGCGCTAGACTTCGATACAAACAACCCGAGGCGCGAACCTTCTAACCGCCACTTACATCCCGCAAGACCATCTCCAGAGCCGCGAACAAGTCGAAGACCGTGCAGGCTTTCAAACACAGTCTTGTCCAGATAAAGCTTCGAGGACAGGGCAGGAAGCAGAGCCGCAGCGCTTGTGCAGCTTTGGTGGCATACGCCAGACGACAGTCTCGAGACCAAGCCGTGGGACCAAGAGTCGCGTCAAAGACTACCTGCTTTCGTCCCAACAACTCCAGAATCTCATCCTCGACGACCCCCGTGTCCCAGACAAAGCCCTTGATCTGCGAAGGTTATACGACCCCAACATTCCAGATCCGATTTTCCGGAATACCTTCCTCATCTCGCCACGCTGCACCTCGAAACTCAAATCACAAATTTAAGTTTGAGACTATCCTCCCTCTCGCCTTCTGTTCTCGACCTTCTTACCTCTCCATCGACATCTCGTGAAGACAGTGCCATTCCGAACCTGCACACCACGCTTGAAACCTCCGACGCGTTGTTTGATCCGGAAAGGACCTAATCGACGGTGCAGGATCTGCCCAGCCAGAGGCTAGGTTTGAGATCTTAGTGGCCACATCCCTCGGCCCAAGATACCACGGTGCTTTCCAGCGTGGCAGGAAGGACTCGGTTCTTGGCTAGGGATAAGCGTGCAGCTAGTGGGCTAGCATCAAACCCTCTTGCGCCTGGCCGGAAGTGGACTGGCCAAATCTTCTTGACGTAGATCTACACGCGGACTTTGACACCCCCTGTTAGACGGCCACTAGGGCAGACTACTGGGAGATCCCAAAAGTATCACTGGATCGGCATCTGCTCGAGGGAGAGTGGCACGTCTCGTACCCATTGGCCATCCGCAGTGGAGGAGCCCTACTTCTGCTGCCCTGTCTAGCCGCCAGAGGCCCAGTGCAAGTGGTGTCCGCCGCCACGGCCACGGCCATTGCCACGCCCTCCCCTCTTTCCACCTGCCTGCTGTTCGCTCGAGTCGAGGCGCTGCTGCTGCTGCTGCTGCTGCTGCTAGCACCTAGCCTCCCTCCCCGCCCATCTCCCAGAGCAGTCGTCTTCTGTGCAGACTGCAGACCGCAGACCGCAGACCGCAGCCCTTACCCTCCTGTGCTGCCCTTCGTCCGCCTCCCCTCCCTCCCCTCCCCTCTCCACCCCTGCACGCCTCTCCACCCAGTGTTGCCGCTATCCGCTTTGCGGAAGAGACCTCGAGCTCGGCCTCAGTGGGGATCCATTACGCTGTTCTTGCAGTTGCAGTCGCAGTTTGCAGCAGCCATACGCCATACGCCATACGCCACCACCCTAGGGCCTCTTCGAGACAAGCGCTGCAGAACCGGCCGTCCAAAAATTCACACGGCCCTCGGGGTTAATCCTCTCTCGGCCACAATCTCATCATCTCACCCAACATTCTTGGACTTGGTGGACCTGGAGGTGACTTTCCCTGGGCGTGTTGTAGCCATCATCGCATCTCTATATCGCAGACGGCGGTAGCGAAAGGCTCTGCACTCGTCGGTGCCCTCACTTGCGCCCTCACTTGCGCCCTCACTTGTGCCCTCAGCTCATATATTATTTGCATTGCGTTGCGTCGCGCTGCGTGGGCGACTTTCCCCAACTCCAACTCCAACTCCCCAACTCGCACCTTCCTCCTCTTACTTCAACCTCCACGTCGAAACAAAGCACGCCGCCCCTCCTCCAATCTGGCTGCCGCAGGCTAAGACTCCTCATCCTTGCGACTCTAAATTCTGCAGCGCTCCACCCGTGGCTGGCTGCGATCGTCCGGTCGCCTTGATCAAGTTACTACTATTCACTACCAAGCATCGAGCTACGATCACCTCGACGCTCGAGCAACCCACCGTCCGGGGCAGATCGCGTCCTGCATCCGCAACCATCAGTAATTGAGCCAGGCAGAGCGAACGGTACCTGTCACCACCAGTCCTCCTCCCGCTACAAGAGCAGAGCCACTACTGTCGACCACTCGTTGCGCAGACCGCTGAACTGGTGCTAGCGACGAACACCTCCAGGCTCCGGAGTCGTAGTATGTCCTTGGTCTCTCCTGAGCATCCCTTCAGCAACTCATTACTTTCAAGAACCGAAGCCGACGACAACAGCGTCTCCCTCTCCGACGAAAGCGAAGCGACTTTGAGCACGCTTCTCGGGGCCTTCGCCAACGCCGAACACCACTCTATGGACAGAGGTGCAACCGAATACTCGCAGTCAGGTTTGCCAACACCATATCCAAACGCGTTCATCGACGCCCAGTCTGAAGAAACTCCCGCAGATCACGCGTCTGCTGCGCAATTCACTCCTCAACAGGAAGTGCGAGCGAACAACTATTCGACTTCAGCAACCCCCACCTCTGAGTACGGTGTTTATCCAGCCTCGGCGCGTTCAGGTTCTTTCCCAGAACACATACAACGCCAGTACCATCCAGCCAGCAACCACAGCGGTAGCAGCGGAGGTATGGCTCAATCAACAAGTCCGTCACTGCCTTTGCAAGATGGGCGCCCAAACCATCACACCACACAAATCAAGTCTGACCAGGATGTTCCTATAGATCCATCAATCGCCGCCTCGAGCCCAACTTATCCTGCGCACGGCGGACAATACTCTCCCTACCCACCTCAACAGGACATGCAACACGGCTATCCTTCGCACCCCGGTGGCGCCATGTACACTCAACCGCGACCCGACTGGGCAGGCTACGGCGGACATCCTCAACATCCAATGCAGGGTGGATATGCGGTTACGGGAGCGCAAACGCCAACGTCTGCGGCTCCGGCTGGCGCGCGTCCTGGTCAAGTAAGCACTTCTCAAGATCGAGTTCCGCCCCTTGTAATCGGCCACTGGGTTGCTCCTGGATCTTCAGACGCGTCTCCCGGCGTGTCAAAGTCTGGACATGCGATACCCGTAAGCCTTTGATACGCCGGATCTGACACTGGGAAGTCTCAACGTCTCCTCCTGTTGCGTGCCAGTGCAGGACTTCTCGAGGACCGCTAATTGTTAACAGCATCAATTATCACAGGTTTACTCCTTCGTCCCCATTCCTGGCGCCCAGCAACACAAGCGTCCCCGCCGACGATATGAAGAAATCGAGCGCATGTACAAGTGCGGATGGAACGGTTGTGAGAAGGCTTATGGCACCCTGAACCATCTCAACGCCCACGTCACCATGCAATCGCACGGCCAAAAGCGAACTCCTGAAGGTATGCGCTCGCATTCACTCTTTTCCTTTCCGCTTTTCCATTGCCATCTACCATTGCGCATGACGCTTGTTGCATGGCACGAGTAGTTTCCACGTTGCCGGCCCCTCGCAGAGCTGCTGGGCGGGGTTGAATGTTGTCTGTTGTTTCTCAGGTGGCGCTTGCGAAGTCCCTGGTTACGTTTGGCGAGCGCGGGATGATTTTCGTTGGCGTCAAAGCTAGTTCAGGCGTGGACTGGGGATAACCTCACTCACTCGGAGCTAGCATGGGTCTACCGAACCTTCGGGATTTTCTTGTGTAACGTGAGAGCGCGCTAACGCATTTCTTATTATAGAGTTCAAGGAAATTCGCAAGGAGTGGAAGGCGCGCAAGAAGGAGGAGGAAAACCAGCGAAAGGCCGATGAAGAGCGTGCCCGGGCTGCTGCTGCTCCCACCGACGGTCCAGGCTCTGCCGACAATGGCCCTGCCCCTGGCTACCAGCAGGGAGGCCGCTCAGTCCAGCTCCCTCCCATCGGTTACCAACCCGGCGCTCAAGTCCCTGGCCAGTACCAAGCTCCAGCCGGTGGCGTTCAACAACTGCAGGAGTACGGCAACAACCACATTTCGTACTCTGGCTACCCAGCATCGCCTTACGGCGCTCCCAACCAGATGTATAGCCAACGTCATTACACCCTCAGCTCCTTCCCCTTACAGAACGATGCTGACATTATGAGTAGATAACGGTGGCCCTGCACCGAAGTATGAGCATTAGACTTAGCACCCTTCCTCGTTGATTGGCATATTGAGCATCGTCAAAAGCACTATCAACACTGGGCCCGACGCGGTAGAGGTTACTCTTCTCCCTTAATGACTGGCTCAGCCTCGCGCACTTGTATCATATGGGTTGCTGATTGCATTTGATTCGGTGTCTTTGACGTGGATTTTCTCGGTTCCTTAGACGACGTCCCTTCGATCGGGTTCGGCAACGAAAATGATTTGCATGGCTTGATGAAACTTTCCGCATTCTCTCCTTTGGTCAATTGGGGGGGTGGTTGGTTGCATTACGTGGCTTTTCAGGGGCGTCGTCCGGGCTTTTCCAACCTTGTCCTCATCATGATTGATGAGTTGGCGTGGCGTGGTTAGGGGATGCATTGCATTTACTTTGGGGCTGTTAGGCTTCTCAAAACCCCTCCATTCAGCATCGAAATTGGGCCACCGAGTTTTCTTTCATGTCATTGTGTGTGTTCTCGGCATTATGGTATTTCCTTTCTCTTGCCAATTTGATCTGGCTGCATACACGGGGTCCAAATATTGCTCATTGGGGGAGTGGATTGATTGCAAAGACTTGCCTAGCGTTCTTTGCCTACAAGGCCCGTGTACCAGAGAGAATAATCAAAACACCTGAAATTAATTATTTCGCATCGTGGAAGTGGGTTGTGTATGTGCGTGTTGGAGTTCCGAGAAACCCGTTTGTCAAGCCACGGCTCTCTAGCGGCTGCTATGAATCTCCTTGGTCTCTACGAGTATTACAAACTAGATCGTTCCACTTCGATTAAATTGCTTTAATAGTTTACTCGTTCTCGAGGAACGAGTAATCGGGCAGCCATTCGGATGTGCAAGCGAGTCATTCGAACTTTCGACGCCGGTGTCTTAAGCCATCACTATTCGAGACTTCCTTGAACTAGCTGGTCCGGAGCTGGCGGGGCCCCTTAATACTTTTATCGCGGCCTAAGAAACAAACCAGTGCGGCCCGTCCCAGCATAGCCTTGTCGTTACCTCCCAAGTAGGGGCCGGATTTTGAGCTAAAAGCCAGACGTTAGCCTCGACGTTAGAACGGTGACTCTCTAAAGGGATAAAAGGAGAAGGGCCGATATATGGGTTATCGGGACTTATACTGCGGTTTAGGGGTTCAGTACGTTTGGGAAGAGCTTCTGAATCCTTTGTCCCTCGTGTTCAGCAGGTTGCAGAGTAATGACGCTATCTTTTACTCGAAGTTAGCTTGCTTATCTTATTTAGGTTTCCCGGCTATTGGAGTATACAGTTCGTCGTAGGGTATATGAACAACTCAGGGAAGCGTTAGGATTTGGTAAAGGCTTTTAGCCGAGAATGGAAGCAGATCTTTCATGTAAAGACATAACGTGGTGTAAGCAATTTCATGCCGAAAGTGTCGGTGTAGTCCCTCAGATTCCATTCATCTTGAGTTTAATGTAAACCCCTCGTCCCGACCACGCCGCCATTCATTCATGAAGCATAACCCCCAGATCTTCAATCTCCCGCAACTGGAATCCAATCCTCATCCAACCCTTGCTGCCCCGGTAAGGTCTCTCTGGTTCTTACTCTGTATCAATCCCCCCTTCACCCAGATCGAGTCAGCTCGGCATTTGTCTTTTTTATTTAAAAAAAGGAAAAGGGGGAAAGGGGGGCGGGAGGAAGGGAACTCGCTTCTGGTCATCTGTTCTCACCAAATTACAGACATGATCTGTTAACTCGAGAACCCTTCACTGAACTTTAGGCCCATTTCAAGTCAACGAAACAAGAAGGTTTGAAGATCTCAATGCATTTTATTCAGCGACAATTACTTCTGTCTGCCATATCCATAAAACACACATCTATAAGTTCTTCTCCATGCTGTTGTATCCTGGTTTCCTTCTTTACTTGCCCATTCCCCCATGTTTTTCCCTGTCCACGCGAAGAAACACCATAATACTCCACAGACGCACGCAAGCGTATTAAGTACTCTCCTCTCCCGAGTCGAGCAAACAACAAGAACAACATAGAAAAGACACCACAAGAACCAAACCAATGGCGAACAGAGAGCTGTCTCTTTCTGTCGTCCCAGCCCATGCACACACTGTGATGTAATATGAACCCATTCAATCATCGTAACATACCTAATACTCGTAACGAATCATATCCGTATTCCGGACCCAGTCATCCATACAATCCATCTGCTTTGCAGCAAGAGTCGGCAAATCGAAGAACACCGGAAAACAGCCAAACCCCGTAAACATGAATTTAAGAAGTCTCGCAGACCAGAGAAACCATTAATAGAAAAAAGTCACTTTTGATAGCCGTCCCACCCCATCCAAGACCGACCAACGCGCCTGCCATGATTTGATGATTTTTCGTTCAAGTGTTGAGTCGAGGAAAGTTTTGAACCCAAATTCAAACGCCATTGATGATCACTTCGGGGCAGGGCTTTTCATTGTGCCCCGTGTGTTTGCCTGAGATCGGGCCGTCAGTTGGGTCTTCGATGGTGCTGACATTTGTACTTGGTAGACTGCTGCTCTGCGGACTGTTTTGCCCGTTGGTGAGCATTGGAGTCGGGGCATTCGAGTTGATCTCAATGGGCATTGTTTGAGAGATGGGCGTGCCCAGGGAAGAGGGTGTGATGTAAGGTTGTGGGCCAGTGAAGATTAGCTTCTCGATGGCGGCGATTTGCTTGCCGTAGTTGTATTTCTTGAGTTGGAGGAGCTGCGGCTTCATATCCTCGACAAAAGCGTCACGCTCAGCACCCTTTAATTGTGCAAGGAGTTTTTCTTCAAAATGATTAGACTCTGTAGACAGATGGACTGTGGATAACATACGAATAACATAATTGCCATATTGGTCCTTCATCATTAGCTGCAGAGGACTTGTGCCATCACTGTGAATTGCCGTCAATTGGGCCACGATAGCTTTTCTCTGTTCGTCAGTGCCGAATTGGATACTCTTCTCCACCACATTCGATGCAAATTTGTGCTTTGACAAGGTCAGAAGCTGGCCTGTGATGATCTTGATGATCTTGGCCCGATCTTCTGGCTTTCCGTGCTGGATGACATGCTGCGTGACATAGTTGCCATATTGATCTGTGATAAGCATCGACGCACATTGGTGTAGCTCCTCTAACACCGCCACTTGATCATGGGGCTTGCAATATTCCAAGATTCTTTGAATGACCCGACATCCGTAAGGATGCGTGGCGAGAATGTTGACTTGGCCTTTGAAAGCCTCGATGACGAACTGAATGTGTTCGGTTGGCACACGCTCGATAGCTTTCTGCACGACGTGATTGCCGTTCTGGTCCTTGACACACTTCAAAACATCAACCTGGAGCTCTTCGACTAATTCCGCTTGCTGATCAGCGAGGACATGCTCTAGAGCCTGATGGTACTTGTTAGCGATAGAAATGGTACTGGTAGATGGACGGCTGACCTTTTGAACAACCCTACATCCGTACATCTGCATTGACAGCTCCATAACATGGTTCTTCATCTGTTCAGCCAGTACTCGTTTCTGGACTTGATTTCCATGTTCGAACAACTTTTGAATGACGTAGTTGCCGAAAACATCAGTCATCAACTGCAGGGCGTTGGGTTGAATCTCGCGGAACAATTGCTCTTTCTCGTCACTATTGGCGGTTTCCAGCTTCTGCTGGATGAAGCGTGATCCGTGTTGGTCCCCACTAAACTCAACCACATGATTGTAGATGTCCTGTACGGTGAGTCAGTGAACGAGAGACCGATGGCTCGCATCCAACTTACTTTCAGCTCATAACGCTTGTTTGACTTTGAGTTTGAGCGGAACTCTTCTAGAAGTACGCTTCGAACACCGACACCAACATCCTGATCCTTCGCTGGTCGAGTGGGAATAATTTGAGTTGGAGGATAAGGGGGCATTGGCATTGGGTAGCCGTATGGAACATTGGCCGGTCTGTAATTCTGGTGGGCAGGGTAATCGTAGGCATGTGCAGGATATTGGCCGTGGAATTGGGTGCCATACATATATGCCTGGGCTTGCTGCGCATAATGTATATTTTGCAATCTCCTGTCCAATTCAGAAGGCCCTTGTGGGACTCGTGGACCTCTTGAGCTTGGCCTATATATTTGGTCGGATCCAGAGGGGGGGGTCCCAGCAGCGGGATAGTACTTGGGGCTGTTAATGCCTCGGCGGTAGTCACTACCTGCTGGTGAGACAGTGCCTCTCTCAGTGAATCGAGGAGCAGGCTTGTTGAAGTATACTTGGTCGGCAAAGGGTTGATTGGAATAAGGCTCAAAGTTGTTGAGGACCTTAGAACCATCCCCCCACATTCCAGAAGCGCTTCCTGAAGGATAGCTTTGCTGGGAAAAGCTGGGATGATTTGGAGAGTATGACGTGCTGGGGATATTGTTAAGATGAGACACGCCGGACTGCTCAGCCTCACGCCCAAGGCTGAATGCTCCGAACTTTTCGCTTAACTCGGCTTCTGGGTCATACCTCGAGCCATTTCCTTGCGAGGGGAACGAAGTTGAGGGCCCGGAGAATGAAGGGCGTTGGGAGTGGATCGAGCTGTTTGGCGTGTGGTGACCAAGAGAGCCGAAAGGCTGATTACCATTACCAAACGATACACTCCCCCCATTGAGACCACCAGAGTCTGATGCTCTCGAGGGTGGCATACTGCCATCTCTTGACGCAGTGCTACCGATGGGCAGATACCTCGATGAGACGTCCAAATCAAAATTCTCTGCATTCGAAACGTACTGGCTCGAATTCTCCTTGTCGTCGTTGTACACAAATGATGGTTTCCGCACAAACTTAAAGCTACCGGAGGATGGATCCAGATTGCTCTTCGGTTGGGACCTGCTGAAGCTTGAGCTCTGGTTCATACCCGGTCGTGACTGCTGATACTGGTTTTGGATCTCCAGAAGCGTTTGTGGTGTGGTCGTAGGGATGCTATTTCGTGTATGAGAAGGAGAAGTGCTTCCACTGTGCGACTGCAGCGTAGGAGACGTCGTGTCGGGAGGATTCCACGGCCCGTTTGTGCGTGCAATCCACGGGTCAGCCTCGGAAGATGCAGCTAGAGCACCTGAGCCGCTGGGGCCGTCGAGGAAATCATCTTTGCCTGACGCTGTTTTGATGTTAGTGGTAGTGGGAGCCTCCCAAGCCAAGCTAGACCTACGACGCGAACGTGAAGCATCTCTCTTCACATTGGGAAATCCGCTACCAATTGTGTTCGGGCCCCATATGCCGGTCGAGGCTTGCCATGAACCCCCATTGCCAAACGTCTGACCAAGAGTTGAAGACTGAGAGGAGTCACTATTGTGCCTCCCGGAGGCAGCACCAAACTCTGGGAACCGGGTGGACCGCCCCTGGGAGAAGGAGTCAGCAAGATGCGCAGAACAGGAGCTAGAACTGTTCAAACATACAGCACCGGCCATGGCAGCCGCTGGCCTGTTGGTGGTCGCAGACGACATGGAGAGGTATGCGCAGAACTAGGAGCGTATGTGAAGGCTGCGAGGCCGAGGATGGAAGTATTTGGAAAGAGCCCGTATGTTCGGCGGACGGTTGTTGCGACCAAAGAATAATCTTTCTGGTGGTTTATTTGACAGGAGGGAGATCTATGTGACTGTGTGGTGGTTTTCAGACGTCAGCAAGGATGTGCGAGCGGTAAGGCTGATCTGAGCTGAAAGCTCACGCACCAGGGCAGGTCGTCGCAGTATGTAACGGATGGACTATGGGTATGGTGAAAGCTCATTTACAAGGAAGGCGGGGTCGAAGAAGAGGTAGAGGGAGTGGTTCAAGAGAAGTCGAGCATCGAGGGCGGGCGAGGAGGAGGTAGTTGAAGGCTCCAGGTAGGGCAAGGAGTATGTCGCGCGACCAGCCCTTCGTTTGTACCCCAAGTCGGCGCGTTTCTGGAGAGAGGCAGGCACCCGCACACCGCGCGCAGAGCCAGACAGACCACCGAAGGATTTGGCGGTAATTTGCGTGCCCTTTGTGCGTTGTCTCTGTTCAGTCTGTCCTGTCTTGGTGCTGGTTCGAGTCGTTCTACCACATCCGGGGAGGCTTTAGGAGGGGCGAAGTAAGGGTGCGAGAGCCAGGAACGCAGTTGCGGGTCGAAGCTCGATCGGGGAGCGTAGAATTCCCCAGAGAGGGAGAGGGAGAGGGGAGGGGGGGTTGTTGGTTCCACAAGCACGCTCGCTCGCTCGCTCGCTGGGTGGCTGTTCACTTTGGCAGGAAGGGAGCCGGGCGAGGGCGAGGGCGAGGGAGTGGTGAGGGTGAGGAGGGTGAGGGTGAGGGTGTCGACGTTCGTGAGTATGAAGGGGGTGGTGTGTGGGGATTGTGGGAAGGGAGAGACTTCAAGGAAAGCGAAGGCTGTGGCTTGAAAGCTTGAAATATTTCGTAGTGTGTTTTCTGACCTCTCTCTCTCTCACACACACTCTCTGTGCCTGTCTGTCTGGTCTGTCTGGTCTGTGTGCCTGGGTCTCTCTGGAGTCTCCCCTTTTTAGTCTGGCGTGGTTTGGGCTGGGTTGGTATGGGTCTGGTGGTGGTCTGGTCTGGTCTGCCTGGCGGCGATGCGAAGCAGGGGTCCAGCCAACTGAAATGCCCCTGGACGAGGGTTGATTGGGCGACGATCTTACATCAGGAAGCACTCAGGGGATGCGCGACCTCGTGCAGTTACAGGACCCTACAGTACAGTCCAGTACAGTACAGTGCGGTGCAGTACAGCGCAGTACTAGTAGACTCTCCGGTATGCTATGCTATGCTTTGCTATGCTATTCTATGCTATGCTATGCCAGGCCAGGCCAGGCCGTGCCGTGCCGTGCTATGCTAGCTTTGGCTGGCCTGCTGCTCCGCCCTTTTTCATCTCTCCTCCCTCTCGTCACTTACCCTCCCTACTTACCTCCGTAGGGCGACTTCGCGGACGCAGCAGTAACAGGGGCAGCCATTATTGTTCAGGCCCGGGGAAGGGTTGAGGCTCGCGTACCACTGAGCCACTCCGCTGCTAACCCGAAGTCCCAGTCCTCCCCGTCCAAGCCCAAGCCCAAGCCCAAGCCCAAGCCCAAGCTGCCGCATTCAACTAACGGTAACTAAAATACTTTAACCCGCCTGTCAAAGAGACTCCGGAAGCAAAGCGAAGCACAGACCAAAACCAAACCTTGAGATGCCCCTGAAGCCTCAGCCTTATTCCAAAAACCAGATAGATGCTCCAGAATGCCCCCCTTTGCCCCCTTTGCCCCCTTCACCTCCCTTCTTCCCCCACCCACCACCCTCTTCTCCTCTCATCGCCGTCGTGAGCGAGCCCGAGCCCAACCATGACGTCGCATTATCTATCTGTCTATCTATCTAGCTCTCTCTCTCCCTCCCCCTCTCTCTCCCCCCCTATTTGTTTATGCCATTGAGTCACCTGCCATCCCTTCCTTCCTTCTGGAATGCGATGCAATTATAATAGTGTAATAGTGTCCCTTCGACCTGGAATTCAATCGACCAGTTAATTCCGATAACCTGCGGTGCACGCTCAACTCAACCTTCGCTCGCTCGGTGTCCCTCCTCATCCTTAATTGCGCGCAAGTTGCAGTCAGTCGCACATCCCATCGAGCAAGCTCGAAACAGACCCATTCTGCTGCCCTGCCCTGCCCTGCCCTGAATGACCCTTTGGCTCCTCTCGTCTGCCCGAACACCAGGAACTGTTTCATCTAGGGAACACGTCCCAGAGACGCCATCGTCGTAGACATCTTCTGCGCAGGATCGCCCAGTGCTATCAGAATGAAATGCAGCTCGGACCTCGATGGACTGACTGACTGACTGATTGACTGCCTGTATGGTCAACGTCCCTTCCCTGCGCTCTCCAAAAGCACCTGGCCACCGCCTGCAAAGAAGCAAATCACATGGTTACAAAGCCTTCATCTCGGATCAGATCTCGCTATGATCGATGTTTTTGACCTTCTCCAACCAGATTCTGTGGAAAGGGAGATCAGCAGTTATCGACCAACCCATACACGCTACTGCTGCTCCAGGCCATGTCCGCGGAAGCCAGCATTTCGCATGACAGCACTCTTAACGACGTATAGTGGCAGTCTTCTCCTGACAACCACTCATCTTCACAATGATTGAGGCTTTTCTCTGGTGGCGTCAGTGGTGAGCTTTTCCGCCAATGCTGTTTCCCTGTCCAGCCTGCAATTCCGCCCGACTCTTTGGGAGTCTCTCGGTGACAGTCGTCACATGTGGTTTAACGAGGGATAAGCTCGTGAAGATAAGTATCAGACAAGAGAATCAATTGGACGACTGGGTAGTCCCTCGCCTTCCTGCATATCTCGACACCGAGGCTCTCGATCACGCCCCACGAGACATCCCTCTTCCATATGGATCTGGTACTCCCAAGCTTCACACCTTGTTCCACACCGCGCCTCTTGCACGGACAAAATCACGGCTGCTGTGTTGAACAATACCACATCTCATCGGATCGATGCTTTTATATCCTGCACAACCGTTGACAGCGCGCTTGAGCCGCGAGAAAGCCAAAGACTATCTACGGCAATCAGGCCACCCCTGCCTAGCAGCACTGTTGGTGACGAAAGCCATAGGGGCTTCAACAAAATCTGACAACTGACAGCAAACCTGTCCCAACCAGGCATTACATTGCAGTGCAGGTGGGTCTTCTCCGAACACGCTTCTCCCTTCACCGCTGTTTGTCTTACAAAAGCGCTGATCAATGAAGACGTCGTTATGAGGCGAGAGAATCCAGATATCTTGAGGTGTTGCCTAGTGAGGTTACACATGTGCTTCGTGCTCCGGTTGATCCATCTGCGATATGTATGTAAGTAAGGCAACCATGTGATTTTGAAATGATTGGAACCCCCTCCCCCCTCCGAAATGCTCCTAGAATGTCAGGAGAGGCGGAGATAAACTAAAGGTTAACCTCGAGATACTTCATCTACGGGAAGCCTAGTCTCTTGTAAAGCCTTCTCATTGTCACAGTGCTCGAGACTTAAAGCACTTGCTTTTATCTCCGCGAGAAGTCGTGAATAAGACGTTTCTTTTGATGAAAAGTTCTGTCCCGTAATTCATGTCACTCGAGATCTGTCACATTTCGGAAAGTGCAAAGGAGAGGCTTGCAGACCTCGATGCTGGCGCTGATTGGATAGAGAACGTTGGAGAACGTTGCGGGGAACAAGGAATAGGGTGATCACATCACACAAGATCAGAAGGGCCGCCTTCTAGAACATGGAGACTCCCAGTCAAGGCTTTTCCGCCACTGTTCAAGAGAGCAGTAAAAAGAAATGAGGCGTGAGACCGCAAAAAGGCCTCTTTAGGTCCGTCAATTGGCTGTAGTGCGACAGGCAGAACTTCAACACCCAATTTCTATAGTGCCCCAATCGCCAATGTTCATGGATGGTTGTCGTCCCTATCGCTCGGAAAGGCGGCAGCATCACGGCATCAAGATAGATTTCGTCAGAAAGAAGCATCTGAAGCAGATCCCAAGCTTCGAAGGTGCGCCACATCAATGCGTTTGTGTTCCAAAGAGCCCCAGGTTCGCGACACGGTGAGCAGCCTCAAATTCATGCGGAGAAAGGTTTCTTCGGACGAACGCCCTGAGCGGAGCCGCAGCAGAATCTATTTCCAGTGCTGAGGTGCAAAAAACAATGTTTGGACGGTTTTGATGTTCTGCGGAGTTTGGGCGTTTTGCGGGGCCTGAGAAACTCTGAGCACCAATGTCCCCAACCTCCCCCATCCATCCATTCATCCTCCTTCCAGCTGCGAGTGATTCCGGGATTCGAGAGGAGTGAGGAGTGAGGAGTGAGGAGTGAAGAATGAAGTGAGGCTCACAGGGAACCCACCCACAGCAAAGAGTGCAGCGCAAACCCACCAATCACCATCTCCGGCTGGTGGTCTGTGCTGACGAGTAACTAAGCCAAGCATGGTTGGCGCCATTAGCGTTGGCAGCCAAGAAAAGCACAGCCGCCCCACCGCACAGTCGATGATTGGCCAGGAATTGAAATGAAGACAACGTTGGCCAGCGTTTACGTAGACGGGTGTGCGCACTGCGCTGAGCCCCTGGGTGCTTGACCCCGACCCGTCGAACCTTGACCTCGTCGCCGTCCTCCTTCACACCTTCGTCGTCCTTGCTTCATCTTCACGAGAGCCAGCCTTCACTCTTTCTCCTTCCTTCCTTCCTTCGGGACCCACGCTCATTTCAGGTATCGGCTTCACTCCTTCAAGCCCGATCCCGTCCATTCTTTCGGAAATTTCCCCCGACTCCCGCGCTGAATCTGTTGCCGCTCGCTGCCGCTGTCGCTCTGTCTTCCTTGCGTGAGTGCATTCTCCAATCTGGCCGGTGCTGCGATAAATCGATATCGCTTTCTCGATTCAATGTGCGAGTGTGTATACAATAGCTAATAATTCTTCTGCAGTGATAGCCTCGGTACTCGTCTGGGTCCAATAGAGTCCTGCCCACCGATCACTCTCCTGTGATCCATGAGCTGCGAGCATTTCCGGACTCTCCTCGTACTACATACAACAGCACTTTGCACACTGAGTATGAGCTCCCTATCCAGTATCATGGCAAGAGGCAGCGCCGCACTCCGTACTCGCGAGGAATCATCCACCGCCATGTCAACGACCGTGATTGACCTCCTCATTGCCCTCATGGTCCTGATCTTCGTTTCTCTTCTCCTGGTCGGAGCTCTTTACACCGTGCGCAAGATTCGCAGAAACAGAGCCATATCCAGACAACAACTTCCTATGCACAGCGATAGCAAGCCCATCTCGAACCACCGCCGTCTGACAATCACTGCAAGCCCCTATGGACACGGCTCGAGCATCTACGTCTACGACGAGAAGTCCTCTATTCTCAGCAGCCCATCCTCTCCACCACTCTCCCCGGACAGCGTCCCTGAGATCCGGATCACTTTCCCCGATGAGCAGGACGAGTCTGGACGACGAAAAAGCGGCCGGGTGGTGGTTGTCCGTGTTGGCGAGACAGGCGTCGGCCTGGAGCCATTGAAAGATGAGCAATTACCGGCATATGAAAAGGAAAGCGGGGCCCGATTCCACTCAATCGATATCGAGCGCATTGGTGGCTTAAAGGAGAAATCCCAATGGTCATAGGTATTCCGACGACTCTGCTGACAGCCCTCTCTCCAGATCAGCATTGCACATACTTTCCCGACACGTTGTACATGACTTTACTTCCGGCTTTTCAATCAGTTTTTTTCTTCGCTGTTTGTACAGTACGCTTCAGAATCTGGCACTGCATCGCACATCATCAGCATCTTCTTTGAGTGCCTCAAACAGACACGTTGGCTTGTTTCTGAGGATTGTTGGACTTCATTTTGGCGGAAGATGCGTCGAAATATCACAGGCTATCGCAAGGTAGCGTTGGGGGGGGGGAACGATGAAACGTATTTGCCGTTCAGTACATGATACCTTAAGAAAACGAGCAACCGACAGCCGTCTAATAGCTGCACATTTGTCCCGTCAGCTCCAAAGATGGATGTCGACGTTCCCTTCTACACTGTTGTACTTAATGTATGCTACGTAATTTTAAGTCTCTCGAATATGAAGATGTGATTGTATTTATATTGACGTGAAGATCAGAAGTAAGCCGTGGAGCGGTGATGGCAGATGCGAGGGAATGATTGACGAGTAGGGTTTGTGTAGGCAAATGAATTAAAAGGCAAAGTACGAGACCGGAAGACTGTTCGTTGGAATTGAAGAAATGGACTGATAAAGATGCGCACAAGGATTCTCGAGGTGTCTCGAATTTATCATCTATCATAACTAGGTAACTAGCTACACGGCAAGTCTATCGAATCGTATGTCGCAGCGAAAGCACCCACCACCCATCAAGGAGTTGGCCGTGAAGACCGACTGCAAAGCATAGTGAGTTGCGGAGATCAAGGAAAACCAGCTGAGAGCAATCTATAGTGCGAGCAGCAGACTGTTGTGAGAGACAGTTGCCATCCTTATGTCTATTACCGTGTCCACAGAAGCAAGCAATTTTTGGACCAGTAGGAAAAACAGATTACAAAAGGGCATGAAAAATGGAAAGAGCGAGCAAATCAAGGCAATCTACCCCCTCTCCCAACCTCAGAGACCACCAACGCCTGAACGACCTGTATGAAATGCAATTTCGTCAACACCGGGGACGACGGTATTCGAATGTTGTTCGTGGATCCATGTTCGGTTCTGAGAGAGCAATGTCGGTCGCTCGACTGTGAACGAGAACCCCTACCAGCGCCTGTTCCCTCCAAGAGGAGCAGAGTTGGAAGAGGTGAATCCCCCTATTTACCAACGACCTTGTTAGTTCCATCAGCGATGGAACAGGGGGTAAAAGGGAGCAAGAGACTTACCACCTCCACGGCCACCTCCACGACCCCCACGATATCCACCTCCGCCATATCTGCCGCCTCCACCGCCTCCACCGCCGTATCGAGTCATCTCGGCAAGTCGGGGATCAATCTGTTGCTTTGCCTCGGTAAGAACAGCAACTAGATCACGAGCCTGCTTTTGATCTGCAAACGTATCAGCAAGGCTCAGAGGAAAAGAAAGAGATGGAAACTCACTGTCAGTTGTGAAAAAGGTAATAGCAGTACCCTTTGCACCAGCACGACCAGTACGACCAATGCGATGAATATAATCCTCCGAGTTATTCGGGTAATCATAATTCAACACGTGGGTAATGTTGCGAACATCTTCATTGACGGGTTAGCAAGAACAAGAAAAAGTGTATAGCAACGTTCCAGGGCGGCTAGTGAAGGAGCTGCATTTGAATGCATCCAATACTCTCTCGGCGTTTGACATTATCTGTCCATTGCGGGTGCATTGCCAGGGCAGGTGAACAACACATCCAGGTCCTCTAGTTTGGGAGTCTTGGAGACAGCTTGACAAGTCAAGAGATGCCAATTCCACATCTCGTACCTAAAGAAGTACTTTTTGAGTTTGGAATTACAAGTGCAGCATGAGTTATGCTTCACCGAAGATCCAAGACACCCTATGAAAGAGAACCAAAAGACACGAAAGAGCCCAGGCAAATTAACGCAATCAGGGGAACGCGTGAGCGTCGAGAGTAAAGCACTACTGTGTAGGCGGCTGGCCGTTGCTGTGCAGGGGAAGGGGGTTTCAATCATACCAATACCACGGGAAGCCACATCAGTGGCAACCATGATGGGACTCTTTCCAGTCTTGAACTCGTTCAAGACCCAATCACGCTCATTCTGTTGCTTATCACCGTGAATCGCTGGGAGAGGTGTTAGCTTGATACTTCTGTATAAAGGGAGCGTCTTACACAGCGCGGGCCACCCGTCTTGTCTGAGGAAGCGTGTGATATCGTCAGCAACACGTTTGGTTCCCGTGAAGATCAGAATCTTGTTGTCCTTATCCTCCATGATCTTCTCAAGGTGTTTAGTCATCTTGTCTCGCTTCTCAAACTCGGATACAACTTCAACAATTTGTGTGATTCTGTGGTTAGCAGAGAGTTCCATGGATCCTATGTTGACCTGAATGAAATCATTCAGGTAATCGGATGCAAGAGCACGGACTTCCTTTGGCCATGTAGCAGACCACATGCAAGTTTGTCGGTCGGGGCGAATCTGACCAAGAATCTTACGAATTTGTGGTTCGAAACCCATGTCCAACATACGATCAGCCTCGTCAAGAACGAGGTAGGTTACTCGGCGGAGGTTGGTCTTCCCAGACTCCAGCATATCGATGAGACGGCCCGGGGTGGCAATGCAAACTTCTACACCCTTTGCGAGGTCACGGATTTGTCCACCCTTGGGAACGCCTCCATAAACACAGGTGTTGCGAATGCGAGAAGACTTGCCGAATTTGGTGATTTCTTGTTGAATCTGAACGGCCAACTCACGAGTAGGAGCCAAGACCAGGACAATGGGGCCATCTCCTGGTGCAAGAAGCGGTTGGGCGTTGATATGAACGATGGCTGGGAGACAGTATGTCAAAGTCTTTCCGGAACCAGTCTCAGCAATACCAACAACATCACGTCCAGAGAGAGCCATGGGCCAACCTTGAGACTGGATTGCGGTGGGTGCAGGGAAGCCTTGAGCCTTGACTTCACTCATAACATATGCAGGGAAGCCAGCCTCGTCAAAGGTTTCGACTGGTCGCGGGACATCTCGTCCTTGGACTGAAATGCCATGTTGGTTTCTAAATTTGATGACGTCGGCCTCGGATCTGGAAGAAACCAGAGGATCCTCCTTGTAGAAAGACTTCTCGAACTTTGGAAGGTTGTTGAGATCTGGATGGTTGTCAGTTTCTATCATGCGCGATAAGGGCTTTTCGGTGACTTACCCCAATGCTGCTGCTTCAAACCGGCACCAAGGTTGGACATACGATCTCCACCTTGACCTCCGCTGCCGTATCCATTTCCTCCTCCGTAACTGCCTCCAGAGAATCCATTGACATTCCCGCCACCGCCTTCTCCGTAACCTTGTCCACCGGCGTATCCACTGTGTCCATAATTAGTATGAAATCTTAAGAAGGTGAAAAGAGATGGGATGTTGCCGCCTTCCGTGGTAAAGTGTTTGGATCCCTCAAAAGTGAGCGGTCCAAATCGACTTTGCTACAGGAGGCGGCGGACTGCGCCAAACTTTACAACAATATCTAGACCATAGGTTGTCATACCCGTTGGAATAGCCACTGGAGTATTTGCCACGGCTTTGAGAATCGCGACCGAAATCGTACCCGTTGGATCCTCCACGAGATCCTCCGTATCCACCGTAAGACATCGCAGTGGTTGAAGGCGAACGCTGCGCGTTGAAAAAGTGAGTAACGAGAGGATGAGGTTCGGAAATTGAAAGAGACACCGAATGCTTGCCGAAGTAGCTTCTCGTGTTGATGGGAAGGAGCTGGAATGGCGAGGGTTTGATGGTTGTTGTTGAAGAAATGAAAAGTTTCGCCAACTTCAGAAGAAATGGGCAGCCGCTTCCGATTTTTTTCCTTAGCGCATATGATCACGTGTAGAAGGCGCAAGCACGGCCATAATTTCGCGGCGAGTGCAACGGGCAAGGCAAGGCTGAACCGAACATTTGGCGGATTGTTGACAAACAGAAGCTCCAAATCTCAACTCCTCCAGTCCCTTTAACACTGCATCCATCCAGCCCCAAAGACATGGCTTCAGATATGGGGACTCTTGTACAGCTCCTCGAAGCCACACTAGATCATCGGCAGCATAAGCAAGGTAAGTTTTTCGAGGTTGAAGCTCCTTGTCGAGCTTCTGGCTGACTTTACCAGCGGAGATCGCGCTCAAGACCGAAGAGAAGAAACCTGAATTCTCGCTTCTCCTGCTCAACATTGTCGCCTCGGGGTCTCTGCCGCTGAACACACGACTTTCGGGGGCGTTGTGCTTCAAGAATTTTATCAAATTCAACTGGGTAGTAAGTAGTTGGGCGCCCATTCTCGCAGCTGAATACTCAGAAGAATTTTTTCAGGACGAGGAAGGAACGTACAAACTCGCCGAAAATGAGGTTATGACAATCAAGAAGGAGCTCATAGGGCTTATGATCTCAGTACCTCCCAGTATCCAAGCACAACTAGGAGAAACGATCAGCGTGATCGCAGACTCTGATTTTTGGACTCGATGGGATACATTGGTTGATGTGAGCTTGCCCTCTGTATGTTGTCATGTGCGGAGAATGTCTCTAACTTTACTAGGACCTGGTTTCCAGGCTGACCCTTGATAATGCGAAAGTCAACATTGGGGTGTTAGAAGTGGCGCACTCAATCTTCAAACGATGGAGACCCCTTTTCGCATCCGACGACTTATACACAGAGATCAATCATGTTCTTTCGAAATTTGGAGAGCCATATGTTCAGTTGCTTGCGGTAAGCTTGTCTCCGTCCATTGGCACTCAGAAGCTAAAGCTTTCCCTCCACAGAGCACCGATCGCCAGATTGAGGCAAACAAGAACAACAGGGAAGCTTTGATACAACACGTTGAAGTCATGAATCTGTTGGTCAAGCTCTTCTACGATCTTTCCTCCCAGGATCTTCCACCAATCTTTGAAGACAACCTGGGAGATGTGACCGCATTGTTGCATAAATATCTCACCTACGAAAATCCGCTCCTAGCAACCGATGATGATTCAGAGTCTGGACCACTGGAATTTGTCAAGGCTGGAATTTGTGAGGTTATGACCTTGTACATGCACAAATATGAGGATGCCTTTGGAGACCTGTGCAAACCTTTCATTACGAGCGCATGGAGCCTGTTAACAACCATTGGCCCGGAGACGAAATTCGACATACTCGTAAGCAAGGCGTTGCATTTCTTGACTGCTGTGGCAAGTCTCGATCGACATGCGCAAAATTTCAATAACGAGGAAATCTTAGGCCAGGTAGTGGAGAAGGTCATTCTGCCAAACGTCAGTCTGCGGGGATCGGATATTGAACAATTTGAGGATGAGCCTATCGAATACATTCGGCGGGACCTTGAAGGATCTGATGCCGACACCCGACGGAGAGCAGCTACGGATTTCTTACGAAAATTACTCGAGAAGTTTGAGCGCCTCGTTACGGATGTTGTTGGACGATATATCACGCACTACCTTGCAGCCTTCACGAGAGATCCAGCGAGCGAGTGGAAGTCGAAGGACACCGCTATGTACCTTTTCTCGGCAATTGCAGCAAAAGGAGTTATCACTGCTACCCACGGTGTCAAGACAACTAATTCCTTGGTGGACGTGGTTGATTTCTTTCAGAACAACATTGCGAACGATCTTATTGCTGACACAGGTGTGGAGCCAATATTGAAAGTGGATGCTATCAAGTTTCTCTATACCTTCCGAAGTCAGTTGACGAAGGCTCAGTGGAGTGCTGCGTTTTCCCCCCTTGTCAAGAACTTGGCGTCTTCCAATTATGTTGTCTACACATATGCTTCGATCGCCGTGGAACGAGTACTCTTCCTCACAAATGATTCGGGAGAACACATTTTTGGAAAGGATGAAGTCACTCCATTCGCCAAGGATCTCCTTGAGCTTTTATTCCAGCTCATAGAGAAGGATCCCGCACCAGAGAAGATCCAGGAAAATGAGTTCTTGATGCGCTGCGTTATGCGGGTTCTGATCGTCATCAAGGACAGCGTACTATCGATCACAGATATTGTTCTCCAGCACTTGATTAGCATCACCGACATTATCGGGCGAAACCCAAGTAACCCGCGCTTCTACTATTACCATTTCGAGTCGTTGGGTGCCTTGGTCCGCTACGCGGCTTCATCGCAACCCGAAAAGCTGGAGAACGATCTATATCCTCCGTTCGCGGGAATCCTTCAAAACGATGTCCAAGGTAGGCCTGGGTGTGCCTAATCTCTTTGAAAGCTCTGACCAAACGCTAGAATTCATGCCTTACGTATTCCAATTATTCGCTGCACTTCTTGAAGCTCGTCCGCATGGCCCGCTCTCCGAATTCTACAAAGCATTGGTTGCTCCAGTACTTATGCCATCCTTATGGGAATCGAGAGGCAACGTACCTGCACTTGCTCGATTGCTTTCGTCCATCATACCAAGAAGTGCAGCAGATATCGTGGCTAACAATCAAGTCGAGCCAATCCTTGGAATATTTCAGAAGCTCATGTCGGGGAAGGCAAGGACCGAGCTCTATGGATTCGATGTTCTGGAAGCTGTAGTCACGTCCTGTGAAGTGTAAGTCACGTCATAAAATATCGCTTTAACTGATGGTGCTAAATTATACCTAGGTCGGCCATCCAACAATATTTCCCGACAATTCTGACCATAATTTTCACGCGACTGAACAACAATGCGCCAGAGAAATTTAAGCACAGATTCATTCGCTTCTACCATCTTGTAGCATCGCGGGATCAGTTAGGCCTCGGCGCTGACTTTTTCATTCAAAATTCCGATACCGTTCAGGACGGTGTTTACGTGCCAATATACTTGACAATCATCCTGCCTTCAACACAACAGCTAGCTCGACCTCTCGAACGCAAACTAGCTGTTGTCTCGCTTACCAAGACCTTAGCAGATTCACAAGCTTTCGCCGTCAAGTACGTAAAGGGCTGGGGCAAGACTTGTGAGGCGTTGTTGAAGCTGCTGGAAAACCCTCCGATGCCAGTTACTGCTGATGATGTCGTCATGGATGTTGACGTCGATGATCTTAGCTTTGGAGTTGGCTTCACGGCTTTAAATACCTGTAAGAAGATTCCCAGGGACGAGTGGCCAGAAGTTACGGATGTGAAGTTATGGGTCGGATCGTATCTCAAGGCTGCAGATGCGAGGCAGGCGGGAGCGATCGCTGAATACGTCAATGAGCGACTTTCGCCAGAGGCGAAAGTCGTCCTGGTATCCTATATGCGATGAAAATGGATGATGCTACGACAGGTGATCCGGGTAGAGAATCCAAGGGGAAGAGGCTAATGACGAAAACGGTCTCAAAGGTATCAGCCTGAGAGGCAAGTTTCGGGTTTAATCCATGAGCGAGTGATAGCGAAACCAAAAGCGGTAGAACTCTTTTCTACGCTGTCTATCGGCCGCAAAGATACCAGCATCTAGATTTGGGCTACCTTGCTACTGCTATTTAGCACACTTTTCAGAATATCAGGTGTGATTTCCGGTTTGGCAGCGTCCCTGGGTATCTCTTTACTTGTTGTGATGTTGAGGCACCCGCCGAAAGGCTCCTCCAGGCCCCTTTGATCCGCTATGCCAGCTCACGGCACTGGACTGTTTCACTTTACCTATTCCTCCAGCAGACTCCAATCTTCATCAAGGCAAATCCTCTCCAAGCAGACATTGGCTATCGGTTCTTCGGTAACCTTCTAAATGAGACGGAAGGGGCTGGGACAGAACGACGTTTCGCTCGTAGCTCTCAATTTTAATTTCGAGGAGCATAACCAAAACATTGTCGAGTTGAAAACTCGAGCCATTACCAAAGGCTGAGGCTCTTGCCTCGGCATCGAAGCTATTGGGAACAAACAAGCCTCCGGGCTCAAGTGACTAGCCTTCATCACTTTCATTCGGCAAAATGGCGTAGTATTTCGTGATGGATCTTTTGAAAGCTTGGCCTTTGAGACTTCAAGAAAAGTTATGCTCACTTCCATTTTTCGGGTACTGCTTCCTTGTTGCAACAAAAGTTGCAGCTATCCCTACCTGCTTAAGCCCTGTGGCGTTGCTGCTCCACTGCTCCACTCTTCGGCTTACTAATAAAGTCCAACAAACATCCGACCCAAATCCGAGCGTCCTCTTTGACCCATCTTGCTCTCGACTTTAAGATGGCACAGGGGCGCGTCCTCGTAATCGCTGGCTCGGATAGCTCTGGTGGAGCGTGAGTTCTCTCTGGGATCATATTCAGATATACTCCTCAAAGTCTGAAGAGCTGACCTGCATATTCTGATTTGCAGGGGTCTCGAGGCAGATCAAAAAGTGATCGGGGCTCATGGATGCTATGCTATGACTGCTACGACGGCCCTGACTGCCCAGAACACCCTCGGCGTAGTAGATATACACTACACTCCGCCACCTTTTATTCGAAAATTGATCGATGCAGTAAGGCTTATTCTCGGAATTTATTGCTATTTCCCCTCTCGAGCAGAGAGCCTCTCTGGCGGTTCAAACTCCTCCATTATCCTTGTCTTCTGGACGGTTTCCCAGTACTCGGATCCTGCAGGCCATTTTCGATCTGTTGAGCTAATTCGCCGCGCAGTGCATTAGCGATATTGGTGTTGACGTTGTCAAAACAGGTAACTCTGCAGCCCTCCGTTGTGCTCTTTCAGAGCCCATTTTGATCTTTCTAACTGATGTAGGAATGCTGGCCTCAGCCGAGACCATCAGAGTTGTGGCAAGGGCTTTGCAGGAACATCACGTGAAGCTGACTGTCGTTGATCCTGTATGGCTCAATCGATCTCGAGATTCTTCTGATGAAGGTTTTTTCTGATGAGGATAGGTGATGGTATCAACAAGTGGTTCCCGATTGTTACCCATAGAAGCAATCCGCGAGTTAAGAGAGGACCTCCTCCCACATACCACGGTCCTCACACCAAATGTTCCTGAAGCGCTGCTTCTGCTTTCTGATGCCGGCTTATCTGCTGAGGCGCCTCGAAACGTCAACGATCTGATCAGGGTAGCTAAGGCTGTACACTCTCTCGGCCCCAAGTTTGTCCTACTAAAAGGGGGCCACCTTCCATTAACTAGAGATGGCGATGTGACCAACATAGCTGCCGATAGAGTGCTCATGGTCGATATATTGTATGGAGAAGGTGTCATTACAAGAATAGAGTCTGCTTACCAAAACTCCAAGAACACGCATGGGACTGGATGCTCGTTGGCCTGTAAGTCAATCATGTGTTGGAGTTAAGGAAAACCTACAATCTGACCGTTTCAGCCGCCATAGCATCGAATCTCGCAAACGGACTGGATGTCGTCCGAGCGGTGAAGCGTGCTTGTAGGTACGTGGAAGCCGGGATCAAGACTTCGACCGACCTCGGTCATGGCAACGGACCCATCAATCATTTCCACTCCACCTACACTCTGCCGTTTACCCCGTAAGTCAGACTCATGGCAGATTTCCGCGGCTTCATGATAACACTTTGCCGGCAGGGGTCGATTTATCGAGTACGTCCTAGAGCGGCCCGACGTCCAAAAACCTTGGCGTGATCATACCGAACATGAGTTTGTCTCTGGCCTTGCTGACGGCACTCTGCCCGTTGAGCGCTTCAAGTATTATTTAATACAAGACTACCTTTTCCTGGTTTGAAGAGTTCTATCTGAAAAAATTCGCCATGCTGACTTTGACAGGTTCAATTTGCAAGAGCAAATGCTCTGGCAGCTTACAAGTCAAAGGCTATAGAAACCATTGCAGAAGTAAGCTCTGACTGGATAAAAACCCAGCATGAGTGGCTGAACATCTTAATAGGCGGCGAAAATGGTGGAACACATCCATCACGAGATGGCCCTGCATGTCGACTACTGCAAAGGATTTGGGATCACAAAGGCAGAGATGGAAGCTTCCGAGGAGAGCCAGGGTATGTTTGTGCTTATAAAATACAATCGGGGCTAACCAAGAACTCTAGCCTGCACTGCATACACAAGGTAGACCGATGCTAACGTACAGGGAGAATCTGGACTGACTAAAGTAGGTATGTCCTTGACATTGGGCAATCGGAAGACTTTTTTGCACTTCAAATTGCACTTGCTCCCTGTTTGGTTGGATATTACACCATTGCAAAACGACTCCATTCCGATCCCAAAACAAAACGAGACGGCAACCCATACTGGAAGTGGATCGAGGCTTATGTGGCCGACGAGTACGTGGATGCTGTGAGGGTAGGGTCTGGTGAGAATGAGCAACCCTCTCCAATGTCCACCAAATTTAACACGTGCAAAGAACTGATTGAAAAATCTGCCCCCTTCCAGTCGCCGAGCCGCATAGGAGAATCAGTAAAGATCTTCATCCACGCAACAAAGCTAGAGACCGGCCTCTGGAGCATGGGTATCGTGCCAGGTAGATCTGGTGGGTCGTAGACAGACATAAGAGAGCATCTGAGCAAGGGTGCTTTGGAACACATGCAATACAATTTTATTTACAAACACGCCTTGGCAGATCCCTCTTCCCTGCATAACAGTGGAAAGGAGAAGCGAGGAGAATAGGTAGAAGAACAGGGTTGTAGACTTGTCGTTAGTAGGACCGAATAGATGCACATGTTGGCTTTGGCTTTTCATTGGATTGTGGAGAAATGGTCGGCCCGCGGCCGCGTGCATGGATCTGACAGGTCTGGATCATCGACAACTCTGTTTTAACCGCGATTCAACTGGTACTGTCTCCTCCTCCCTCCCATGCCCTCACCATCGCCTGTATCACGCATATCACCAGCCAAACGCTTCAAAAGACCAGTCTATGCACCGACAAGCCAAGTTGTCTTCATGGAATCAAGAGACTTTTGGGCATCGTAATCCTACCGCCTGGCTTCCAGCCTTATCTTTCCCCTCAAGACCTGCTATGAGCTGCGAGCGTCCTGAGACCCCTCCTACGCGCATCCATGAGTGTACATAATTCGAAGTGAGTCTGAGGACGGCTGCTCCCTCTCCAAAGCGAATGGGCGATGCATTTCACGCAGTTTTTTTGCTTCCTCGATTGTCAGCGTCAAGTGCTCGCAAGACCACTCTCTTCCCACCCCTCTCCCATTCATTTCCCCACCACAAAGCCCCCCCCCCCTTCCTCCAGTCATCATTTGCAAGCATGGATCCCCTCGCTGATTGCCTATTATTCGGGGACACAGCACCTCCACCAGCCCCAGAACCGGAGACTCGATCTTCTATGTCTCCAGCCGTCGGAGACACCACCCAAACCCCCGAATCCAAATCCACAAGTGGCTTTGCCAGTGTCTTTAAGAGCTTGACTGGAAGCAAGTCTTCGCGGGGCCCGAATCCTCAATCGCCAGCTGCGGTTGCACAGCATCCCAATGGCGCCCATACTTTGCAGCCGGCAATCTACGGCGGGCCTCCAAACTACGAACACCTATACGAACAGCTGAAGCCGGAGAGACCTCTTGCAAGTCGCCTTTCTGCTGCAGAGTCTCTTCGTCTTGCTGTACAAGACTACCCTTTGAGTGGTGTAAGTGCGCGAAGGCAAGATTAGATTAGGAGCTAACAGAAAGGCAGGTCACCAGCATATTCAAGCAAGCAAAGGACCTCATCGATCGAACAAACCCAAGAGAAGGCCGAACAGCAGGGTTTGAGTTGTTGACTGCTTGCGTTCAGCAGTCGACTTCGACAGATCCTGAGCGATTTGCGTACTTTCGTGTCCTCACAGCTCCGGCGAATCCTGAAGACTTCCATCTGCAACTTGCTTCGTTGGTCGAGTTAGCAAAGCACGGGAAGGACCTTTCAGGTTTCCACTACGATACCTTGCCCCTGTTGACCTCATGGCTCCGAGAGAACTTCGCCATTACATCGGCTGCGAGACGTCAGAACAAAGCAACAAAAAGCAAGGCCCCCCTGGGCGAGGAAACCAATCTATCCCGGCTTTTCGCCTTCATTGTAGATGTTATCAAATTCAACTTCAATATCTCTAGCGGGGAGACAACTGGTGATCTTATTGACGTAATCCTCGATATATGTGTCAACACGCCCCAAGCGACCGACTTGAGCGCGTGTGTCAACTTGATCGATGCCATCGTCACCTATGGGGATATTCCCAACAGCAAGTTGTTGGGCTGTGTCAAGGTCCTTTGCTCTATACACTGCCTCATTGACAAAGTTCAGCCAGATGCTTGGCGGTCAATTAGCAATCTCTGCAAGTCTCACAACGGCCAGACAACCGTGAGAATTCTTCTGGACATCCTTCGCGATCCTTCTGTTGTTGCAGCAAGTGGAAAGCAAGCCATTCGTGAAATTCGCGGGGCTCTGTCGGTACTGGAAAAGTTGTTCTCCAAGGACGGCCAGGATGGATATCCTCTGGTTCCCTTCACTCTCCTAATCGCGGCTCTTGGAAACGTTGTTGCTGTTGAGCGCGTAAGGATGAAGGTGGAGAACGACGTACTTCGTCTCATTTTATCCCTTTTCAATGATGGAGGTCAGAAGATCAAGCAAAATGTGATGGAGGAGGATTGGTCCAAGATGTTTGCTGTCGTCATCAGCTGCTCGCAGCGCGTGTTGGAAACCGCCGATGGTCACCAAATTACAAGTAGATCCGGGATATCAAGCCTCTTAGCCAAGGAGAATACGAGTGATCAGATTCTCGCCAATGTGACAGAAACTCTCAACACTCTCATTCTCCGAATAGAGGAACTGCTCACCAAGTTTTCTGATGGCGACTTCTTCCAACGGGAGGACTGTATCAAGTTTTTCGTCGCAGTTCATCCACATCTACCCGAGTCGTGTGCCAAATGGGTGATTGACTATTACATGGAATATCGTTACTGCTATCCATCGGATTTGGAATGGAAGGACAACACCAAGGTGATTCTGGCTGCATTCTTTGTCGACCGCTCTCAGCCTACTCATATTCGATTGCATGCGCTCCATGCAGTTACTGAAGTTTGGGCAGTCATTGAAATGATGGATGGACATGACGACGCTGACACCATCCAAATTTTCGTCACGTCAGTTCTGGATGACATCAGTGACGAGAAGGACATCCCAGTCCTGCAAGAGGTCGTTGCGTTTGCTACAACCGTTGCCGAAATTGCGGATGAGTCATTATTCATCGACATTATGAATGCTCTTCGTGGAAGCATTGCGAGTGACCGCCTTCAGTCACCTCTTGGATCACCGCCCGGGTCTCGGCAGGGTATGTTGACCGCAGGCCGACCAACCTCGGTTTCCAACAGTCTAGTCCAGACTGCATCAAACGTCGTTACAAGAGGCCTTATTCAAATCTTCATGAGAGCCATGGATAAGTCTAGTCGTAAAGCTTTAAAGGTCTTTGATGAAATCCTGTGGATTGCGAAATCTCATGTATGTGAGACCGATGCTCGGATTTCAGCTATGAGGATGCTTCTTCGATTGCGAGCTGATTGGGCGAATCGGATCTTCCTGACACCTTTCATTGAATGTGAAGGGCTTGCAGCCTCTCTGTACAGAACCCCAGCTTCTCTAGCACGAAAACAAGCAGCCGACGAAGCCGCCCAGCAGCACCGGTCTACTCGTGTTGAAGACTTAGGCAGTTCTCGCATATCACGGAGTGTTTCGTTCGGCCAAGGTCAATCTCAGAATAAACAACCGGTTCGGACCGGCAGTGCTATGAACCGAACGCTGCAACGGAACCACCAGATGTGGATGTGGCCCGACCCGAACCCACTGCCGGAGGAGCCTGCTGATAAAGCCAGTCCGATGCTGACTTCCGTGACCGAGATGGAAGAGTGCGAGGAGGGCCAGGCTGACTGTATAAAGGAAGACGGTGGACCCGAGACCGAAACTCAACTGTTATTTGTTGCAGGTCTAATCAATAAGACTGCTCTACCTGTTGGTCAGTATCTGGATGCTGTAATTGGACTCTTCCAGAACGGTTGTGATTGGGAGGTGTACAGCTACATGCTTGTGCATCTTCCTTCTCAACTTACTAATCAAGCCCTGTTTGCCAGCGCTCTTTCACAGGTCAAGTTGTTGAGGGAGTTGTTGTGCGATCAGATCAAGAACAGCAGTTTCCAGGAGCCTCCAATGTCTTCGGGATTGCGCAAGGCTGATGTTGCGATATGCCTCTATCAGGTCCTGACCATGGTTATGGGCTACCACCAGCATTTCAATAAAGTCGACCAGGACGAGATTGTAAGAACGTTTCTGCACGGGGTTGGAGAACGAACTTCCAAGTGTTGCATTCATGCCCTCTCAATATGCTGTCATGAGCTCCCGGGATCAACTGGCAAGGCGCTTGTGACCATACTTCAAAAGATGTCACAGATCATCACTCAAAGTCACGTCGCAATTCACATTCTAGAATTTCTGGCATGCCTTGCTAGACTACCAAATCTCTACGTGAACTTCAGGGAAGATGAGTATCGGATAGTCTTCGCCATCTGCTTCCGCTACCTCCAATATGTGCGCGACCAGCAGGTCAAAGAAGGCCCGAATCGCAACAGCCTTCCGAATCCAAAAAGCTCGATTACCTCTGTCGAAGGCTCACGCACGCCTGCGGACAACGGTCTTGCGGAGAGCAATCTTCGGCCCAACACATCTGATGACCTTCCGCAGTATGTGTATGCCTTGGCCTATCATGTCATTATATTCTGGTTTCTGTCGCTGAAACTCGCGGATCGTGCCGGTCAAGTTAGCTGGATCACTAAGAATTTGGTCTCAACTGATCTGAACGGCAAAGAGAAGATCGACGAGCAAGCGCAGGTCGCTCTGGATTTCATGCAGAGGGTGGCTTATGCTGATGTCGACGAGTCCAGTCCCGATCCTGCTTTTAATGAAGGCACATTTGGAGAGATCAAACAGAAGCGGTGGATCGTTGGAAACAGTCTGATAACCGTCCAGCAAGCGACACGAGGAGACTGGGCTCAAATCACGAAGCGCCAGCCCTCGGGAACTTCCTCCTACGTTATCCAGGAGAGATTCACACGGCCACCTGCCCACCAGGAACAAGTCATGACCGATGCTATGAAGGATGGGCGGCACTCAGATGACAACGTGAAACTACCAAGCCACCTTTTACTACAATTAACTGCCTCGGTTCCTCAGTTCGGTGAATCACTGCGTCCGATTCCCCTTCCAGAAGATGATTTCATGGAACGAGTCATCAAACAGTTCAACCGCAGTTTCACCGTTGATGGCCATAAAGTCGGCGTGATCTACATTGGCGAAAATCAGACTGGGGAAGTCGAGATTCTATCAAACATACAAGGAAGCAGCGATTACACGGAATTTCTGTCCGGCTTGGGTACTCTCACCAAATTGAAAGGTGCCAGATTCAACACTCAGGGCTTGGACCGTCAATCCGACTCAGACGGCGAGTATACATTCTGTTGGCGCGACAGGGTCACGGAGATCGTTTTCCATGTTACTACTCAGATGCCAACAAACCTTGACCAGGATCCTCAATGCATCAATAAGAAACGACACATTGGCAATGATTTTGTGAACATCATCTTCAATAATTCCGGCAAACAATTTCGATTTGATACATTCCCTTCGGACTTCAACTATGTCAATATCGTGATCACACCGGAGTCGCGGGAATCTTTTGTTGCCTCACGCTTCAGGTCCAAAGCACATGCAAGGAATGCGTTTTATAAGGTGCATGTTATGAGCAAACCTGGCTTTCCGGAGATCTCACCTGCCGCCGAGACGAAAATCATGAGCCTGACTGCACTGCCCGGGTTTATCCGTTTGCTCGCGCTCAATGCATCTGTGTTCTCGCAAGTATGGGCAAACAGGGAAGGGGGGGAGCATGTTTCGTCGTGGCGAAACAGATTGCGGGAAATCAACCGTATTCGAGACCGATATGGACCAAAACACCCAAGTTCGACACCAACCTCACCTCCTGGGACTTCGAACGGCGCATCAACTGACGCAAGAAATGTGCGGGATAGTCTCAACAGCCTGAGGAGATCCTCGGTTGCAAATTTCCTCTCGAATGCGACAGAGACGACTTCTCAGCGGTCCTCTGTCCTTTCAATGGCTGACACGGAGGTCGGGCCGAGCCCTAGTAAAGAAAGTCTTATAGACAGCCTTGATTTTTCGAGGTGGGCATAATTTATAATATAGCATTTAATATATAAAAAATTCAATAAAAAAAAACTACAAATATTATATGAGGTATTTATTAGTAAGTAAAAAGATAATGAAATTAATTAGTGAGTTATGAAATTATAATATTAAATTTAATATTAGGATAGCTATTCTTTCGGGAGTTATATATATAGTTACAAGATTCGGGAAACGGGATACGAGATACGGGATATAGTTATATAACCTTATATCTAATAAGTAACTTGACTAGTAAACTAGATTCTATTAGGCTTAGCAGATTTAGGAATTATATATTAATATTATAATACTATAATTCTTACTTCTAAATATTAATTATTTTACTAATTTTATATATTAAATATTTTATATATATTATATAATAATACTATATATTACTAGTAAACTAATATTAATTAGGTTATATATATAAATTAGAAAAGATTTTAAATTAGTTTTAAAAGTATTTAATAGCTTAAAATAAATTTAGTTTATTTTATATTAAAGAAAGAAACTATTTATTAATTTTATAAAAGTATTTAATAATTTATAAAAAAGATATTTAGCTTTTACTAATTAATAAATAGTTAGCTATTTATTTAATTAATTAATTATTTAACTTTTATTATTTTTTAAAACTAATTTTTTTTAGTTCTAGAATTATTTTCTTAAAAACTATTTTTTTAATTTATATATTTTTAAAACTCTTTAATTACTATTATAAATATAGTATTTAGGGCTTAGAAAATAAAATAAAAAATAATTTATAAAAATAATTTAAAGCTAAGAAAGAAAAAGCTAAAATATAAGAGGCTATAAAGAAGTATATATATCCTATAATATACTAGTTCTAAAGAGACTAGTTTTTTAAATATTTCTAATATATTTTAAATATACTTCTTTAGTAAAATAATTATATTATATATATCTAGGAAATATCTAGTATCTAATAAAATATTTCAAATACCGGATATTTAGGAATTATAATATTATTTCTTTTTTCGAAATAAGCTTATTTCCGAGCTTTATAAAAGCTATTAATTTATTTAATTTTATATTATTTCTTTTTCTAAAATAAAACTAGTATCTCGAATATAAATATTATATAATTTAGAAGAATTTATTATTATTTCTATATAATTCTAGATAAATATTATTTTTTATATAGTCTAGCTAATATTATAGATTTTATAAAAGTTCTAATATATTAATATTATTATTATAAAAACTTTATAAAACTAGAGAACTATTATTTAGTACTAAAGCTAGATATTATACTAGATCTTTATTTTAACTAATTTACTAAATTATATACTTTAGTTTATTTCTTATTAGCTTAATTATAATAATTTATTTAATATTATACTTTTATTTATTATTCTTTAATATTAATAAAAATAATTCCGGGTTTATTTAATTTAGTAAAGAATTCTAGAAGTCTTTTTATAGCTTCTTTATATAGAAAACTAGATATATCTTTATAATTTCCGGAAGTTTTAAAAGAAATAAATAGCTATATTATTCTAGAATCTTAAATAGGCTCTTTATTTAATTTTCTAGCTTCTAATTTAAATAATTAGATTTCTAGTACTTTATAGTAATTTATACTTTATTTCTGACTTTAAAATTAATTAAATAGTAATATTTATTAGCTTATATTATATATTATTTCTATATTTATTTTATATAGCCTTAAATAATTTATTATAATTTATATAATTAATTTATTAATACTTTAGCTTTATTTCTATTTAGCTTTTCTTTAGGTAAGTTAGCTTTAATAGGAAAGTTCTAATCTAAAGAAATATAAGGCTTATAATTCTTTTTAGTTATAAATAGAAACTAGCTAATAGTTTTATATTAAAAAAATACTTATAAATAATTAATTATAATAACTTATTTATTCTAGTTATTTTAATAATAATTAATATATAAATATAATTTCTAATTAAAGTACTAATTAATAATTTCCGTTTATTTATTTATTTAAAAATAATTAACTATTAAAACCTTAAGCTTTATATTAATTCTTATATAGAATTCATTTTAAAAATTAAATATAAATTAGAATTCCCGATCTAATATAATTATTTCTGGAATATTTATTTAATATATTATATAAAATAAAAACAGAAATACTAGCTATTTAGCTATAATTATATCTTATATAGAAATTATAATTAGATATTTAGACAAGTAATCTATAAATATAATAATTATATTATAGCCTAATTTATTTTCTAGATAGCTTTTAAAATTTATAATAATATATTACTAGAAATAATTAGAAACTAAAAGAAAATAAAATAAACTAGGCTTCTTATTTCTAAATATATATAATTTCTTATAAATATAATTATTATTATAGTATTAATTAATATTTTTATTTATAAATAGCTAGTAATATTATTTTTTTAGTAATTAATAAAGCTTTATATATCTAGAATATCTAGAAAGAAATTTATTATATATTTTATAAATTAGAATAATTTATAAAAATAGTTCGGGAATTATTTTATTCTTTATAATATAGAGTCTTTTATAATATAAAAGAAAGCTATTTTATAATATCTAGATATTATTTTCGGTTTAGGCTATTATATATAGCTTTTTTAGATCCGGTAATATATAATTATTTTATAGGATTTTATTTATAAATTATAAATTATTATATTTAATAGAAGCTTCTAATAGTACTTCTATAAGAGCTATTATAATAAAGTTTATTAATAAAGCTTCTAAGAAATTTTTTTTTCTAAAAGAATTATATTTCTAATAAAAGTATATTTTTTTATAAAAGTTTTTAATATATATTTGGTTTTTAGAACTAAATTCCGGATTAAATAAGCCAATTTTATAAAGTATTATTATAAGCTATAAGTTATAAATAATTTCCGGATTAATCTTATTTTTAAAGAAAAGTATTTAAATTTATAGTTTTTCTTTAATTTAATTCTAAGTATTTATTTTATTTTATTTTTATAATAAAATAATTAATTTTCTAGAATAATATATAAGCTTAAAATAATAATAGAATAAAAGCTTAATTTATTTAACTTATTAAAAAAAGAGCTTTTTAATAATTATAAAATATTCTAAAATATATATTATATAAATATAAATACTAGAAAGCTTAGCTTTATTTACTTAATAGCTCTTTATTATTTAGCTAGATCTAGAGGCTCTTTATAAGCTTTTAATTAGATAACTATTTATAATAATTATAAGCCCGGTATACTAGCTATATATCTCTATTAGTAATTAGTAAATATTCTAGTAATTATAGTTATTCTTACTATAATTATAACTACTAAAAAAATTTATTTATTTATTTTTATTATCTTTTCCTTTTTTTTTTTAGAATAATAGCTTTATTAATTTTTAATATATATCTTATTAATTATAGGAGATTTCTTAAATAATATATAAAACTTAAAATTAATTCTATTTTTTATTAATTCTAATATTTCATTAATTCTAATATTTTATTAATTCTAATATTTTATTAATTCTAATATTTTATTAATTCTAATATTTTATTAATTCTAATATTTTATTAATTCTAATATTTTATTAGTAATATGAAATATAAATGGAAATATAACTAAAAGCTTTATATCTAGCTCGTTTTAATAATATTAAAAAAGAATACTTATTTAAGCTTAAGAAATATATTATTAAATAGTTAAATTAGTTAATATAAAGCTTTTAATATTAGAATATTTGGAACTAGATATACTATATAATAAAACCTATTCTATTTATATTATATCTTAAATTATTCGTTTTCTAGTAAAGATTCTCTTTTTAGAATATTATATAAGCTCTTTATAATAAATTCTAGCTATTAGAAAATAATATATAAGAATAAATAAAAGAGAATTATAAAAGAATTCTAAACTATAATAGAATAGATTTAGAATTTCCTAAAGCCTGGATTAATAATTAGTATTAAACTCTTATATAAGCTTAAATCTATTAAGTTATAAAAGTTAAAAGATTTCTAGTAATTAAGAACTTTCTTTAAATAGTAATAGCTAAGTTTATATCTATTTAGAAAAAATAGTAACTTGTTTTAATAATTAAGACTAATATATTAGAAGAGCCTATTTATATATTCGAGTAATATAAAAGGATTTTTAAGGCTCTAATTTAGTAAAATAAATATTTTTTATTTAGAATCTTTATTTCTTTTACTAAATAATCTAATTTATAAGGCTATTTATATTTTTATAAGAAAATAAGAATAGAAAAGCACTTATAAAAGCCTATTAATTACTTTATTCTAAAGCTTATAATTACTAGTTCTTATATTAGGAAACTTAATCTATAGCTTATAAATAAATAATTAAAGAATATATAAAAATATTTAATAAAGAAATATAAAAAGCTATATAAATAGCTTAAAAAAAAAGAGTTAGATAAAGAAAAAAAGAAAATTACTAGGAGATTTTAAGTATTAATAATATATATGATATAGTTTTCTGATTTTGGGCTTATAAAGTTATCTGAAACTAGAGCTAGGCTTTTTTGAAAACTAAATATATTACTAGAAATATCTGAAAATACTTTATTTTCTATTTATTTTTTAGTTCTATTAGCTTAATATAAGATACTAGGAAATAATAATTTCTTAGTTCTTAATTAGAATAAATAAACTATATATATATTTCTTTTTACTAGAAGTATTTTATAGAAGTATTTTACTAGCTATTTTCTTTATATAGAGAATTAGAAGCTTTTAGGAAATATATTATATAAATATAAATACTAAAGAGCTTAGTTTTATTTAATAGCTTTCTATTATTTAGTTAGATCCAGAAGCTTTTTATAAGCTTTTAATTAGATAATTATTTATATAAAATTACTATTTTTTATTATTTATAATAATATAATAATTAGAATAGATCTTAAATAAAGTATTTTAAAGACTTTCTAGTTCGGCTTTTTATTTCTCTAATACTTATATTATAATAAGTATTTCCTTATTATATATATTATAATTAAGCTTTATTAGAAATATAGTTTTAAAAAAAAATAAGCTATAAGATATTAAAGGCCTATTTCTAGG